CCGCAACTATACATCATCACAACAATACATCATAATAAAAATACATTATCACAACAATACATCATCACAACAATACACAATCACAACAACACATCACCACAACAATACATCATAACAACAATACACAAACACAACAATACATCACCACAACACTACATCACAACAATACATCATCACAGCAATACACAATCACAACAATACATCACCGCAACTATACATCATCACAACAGTACATCACCAGTTCAATACACAATCGCAACAATACACAATCACAACAATACATCATCACAACAATACACAATCACAACGATACACCATCACAACAAGACACAATCACAACAATACATCACCACCACAATACATCACAACAACAACACATCACCACAACAATACACCAACACAACAACACTTCATCACAACATATCACAACAATACATGACCGCAACTACACATCATCACAACAATACACAATCACAACAATACATCGCCACAACATGCCACAACAATACATCAGCACAACGATACTTCATCACAACAATACATCGCCGCAACTACACATCATCACAACAATACATAATCACAACAATACATAATCACAACAATACATCATCACAACAATACACAATCACAACAATACATCACCACAACAATACATTATAACAACAATACACAATCACAACAATACATCACCACAACAATACATCACAACAATACATCATCACAAAAATACATTATCACAACAATATATCATCACAACAATACATCATCACAACAATCGATCACAACAATAATACATCATCACAACATATCACAACAATACATCATCACAACAATACGTCACAACAACAATACCTCATCACAACAATACATCCTCGCTACAATACATCATCACAACAATACATCATCACAACAATACATCATCACAACAACACTTCATCACAACAATACATCATCGCAACTACACATCATCACAACAATACACAATCACAACAACACATCATCACAACAATACACAATCACAACAATACACAATCACAACAATACACAATCACAACAATACATCATCACAACAATACATCATCACAACAATACATCACCACAACAATACACAATCACAACAATACTTTTAATCACAACAATAATGCATCATCCCAACAATACAAAATCACAACAACAAATCACCACACCAATACATCATCACAACCATACATCACCGCAACAATACATCATCACAACAATACATCATCACAACAATACACCATCACAACAATACATCATCACAACAATACATCACCACCACAATACATCACAACAACAATACATCACAACAACAATACATCATCACAACAATACTTCTTCACAACAGTACATCATCACAACAATACATCATCACAAACATACATTATCACAACAATACATCACCACAACAATACATCACCACAACAATACATCATAACAACAATACACAATCACAGCAATACATCACAACAATACATCACAACAATACATCATAAAAAAAGTACATTATCACAACAATACATCATCACAACAATACACAATCACAACAATACATCACAACAATACATCACAACAATACATCACAACAATACACAATCATCGAGGAAGAGGACGAGGAGGTAACCACGAAGCAGCAGCTTGATGAAGAAATCCGCCGAAACAAAGAAACCATCTTCAAGGATGTTGTCCACGAGGCACAAGAAGGTGCTTCTCAAGACAACGATTATGGATTTGACCCGAGCGAGGTCGATTATGATGAGGAAGGCGACGAAGAGATGGACGAAGCAGAAGATGACGAAGAAGTCGTCGCCGATGATGAAGAGGAGGAAGAAGCCGGAGAGGCCGAGGCTGCCCCAGGGGTGGCCAAAATGCCCAAGTGGGCATTGAACCTCGACGTTGGGAGCATCCGGTTGCCCGCTATGGGGATGATCAACACCGACTCATCCGAAGGCGCGGCACAGCTCTTTGACAACGCTGTCTTGGCAAAGATCATGGGCATGTACAGGCACTACTACAGGCAAAGGGTCCAAATGACACCTGAAGACTACCGCGCCGAAATGACAACCGGCCGCGTAGGAAGACTGGACCTTGATGGCATATGCCCATACACTGGCGAAGATGACGACAGAGCGCTTCGACGCCCCACCGAAGAGGAACTCGACGTCATGTTCCGCGCCAAGGCCAAGCAGGAAGAATGGATGCAAGGAGAAATGATGTATGGGGGGCGCCCAAGAAATATGTTGATGACTGTGGTCAAGACGTTGGAGATTTATGAGAAGCTCATGGAGCGACTGGTGCTCGCTGGATACAAACCTGAGGATCTCCAATTTCCTATTCCAATGAACAAGATGAAGGGCACCACCGAAGAAAAGAATGAGATGAGAGCCAAAATGAGCAGCTTCCTATGCAGATTATTGAAGAGTGCCTTCCCGAACTCAACACAATACACCTACTTTCGAGCTGGTGACCATGGGTTCGAGGATTGCCTTGAAATTCCTGCATTTGCGGTCTACCTATCTTACAGGGAACAAGAACGCCAATTGGAGTTGCTGGTAACTGCAACCCAATGCAATGTGAATCTTCCACAAGCGTTCATCGGAAGGATCGCGCATGCAATCAAACGCGCCGAACAAGAAGCTGCACGAGGGCATGTGCGATGGATGGACCACATTGCACCAAATGTTGATCCAAAAGTCGTGCAGAATGTCTACAAGGCAATTGGGAGCACCGAGGGCGCAAAGAGAGCTGTTGATGACGTTGCCAGAGCTGAGGCACGTGCGTCTGAAGCAGAGGCCAAATCAAGAGGCGGTCCAAAGGCTCAAGGCCCTAGGTCACCTCCGCCAAAGGTTGCGCCAACAAGTGCTCCAAGCTACTCAAGCTCATCATCATCTGCTGCAGCCGGCCCCGCAAAGGCCAAACCTGCACCAAAGCAGATGCCAACGTCGGCAAAATCATCTCGGCCTTCTCCCACAGACAAACCACAACCAGCACCTCAATACAAGAAGAAACGCACTGACTGATCCAAACCGGTAACGCTCAGCGAGCGCCCGGTACTGGTGATGTCTGGGCACTATGTGGTACTCTCCGTCTTCATTGATGAGCATCACAAAGATTGACTGGTGAGAGGACTCTGAGCGAGGCCTTGTACAGGATTAGCTTAGTTTCTTTTCTTTTCACCAAGCTCAATTCGATGTATTGTATCCCAATTCGAAGTTTCCAACCTTTTCTTTTGTACAAACGCCGGTAGCTAACTGCGAAGCCAGAAACGTTGCAGGGATTCCGATCCGGTAACGCTCAGCGAGCGCCCGGTGAGGATGAACCACTTCAGTAGCTAATTAGGGCACTTGTACATTAGCGGAAAATTCACAGGTTCCCATCCTTCGTGTTCGACAAATCCACATAATGCCGAACATGGGGGGTGCAAATGGGGACTAAATGGGAGTACAGTGTAACTAATTCCCATCTATTTCAACGGACCTTTGGCCAAACGCAATGTTTGGCTCAAGACCCCAACGCAGACAATAAAAGATCGCTGCTCTCTGCAATGTTCGCATGAAACGTTGGAAACAGCTCAGCAGGAACTCAAACTGACCAAGCGATAGATCCGGAACAGGGATTAAGCTGTTCACAACAACAATACATCATCACAACAATACATCATCACAACAATACACAATAGCAACAATACATCACCACAACAATACACAATCACAACAATACACAATCACAACAATACACAATCACAACAATACATCACCACAACAATACACAATCACAACGATACACAATCACAATAACACACAATCACAACAATACACAATCACAACAATACATCATCACAACAATACATCATCACAACAATACCTCATCACAACAATGCACAATCACAACAATACACAATCACAACAATACATCATCACAACAATACATCACCATAACAATACACAATCACAACAATACATCATCACAACAATACACAATCACAACAACACATCACCACAACAATACACAATCACAACAATACATCATCACAACAATACATTACCACAACAATACACAATCACAACAATACATCATCACAACAATACATATTCACAACAATACATCACCACAACAATACACAATCACAACGATACACAATCACAATAATACACAATCACAACAATACACAATCACAACAATACATCATCACAACAATACATCATCACAACAATACCTCATCACAACAATACACAATCACAACAATACACAATCACAACAATACACAATCACAACACAATCACAACAACACATCACCACAACAATACACAATCACAACAATACATCATCACAACAATACATTACCACAATAATACACAATCACACACAATCACAACAATACATCATCACAACAATACATTACCACAATAATACACAATCACACACAATCACAACAATACACAATCACAACAACACATCATCACAACAATACACAATCACAACAACACATCACCACAACAATACACAATCACAACAATACATCATCACAACAGTACATTACCACAATAATACACAATCACACACAATCACAACAATACATCATCACAACAATGCATTACCACAATAATACACAATCACACACAATCACAACAATACACAATCACAACAACACATCACAACAACAATACACAATCACAACAATACACAATCACAACAATACATCATCACAACAATACCAAAGACTCCCAGGACCTGTGGCAGACAGAAGCCACAAAATCCACCACTTGGAAAAATGATCTCAAGGGTGGAGGGTGGGCCAAGCAATGCTGTGGAACTGTCCTTTTTTTAAATACCATACCTATGAAACAAATATGGCATATGATTATTTATTACGTATGTTGTATTTTACTTATCAGTGTTATTGTTAGATAGTTAGGTAACTTAAATATTGATAATCCCTCGTGTAGAAATATTTTTGCACACCGCCACAGAAAACACAATGGATGGGCCCACGCTATGTCCGCTATGGCTGGCTGCCCAGCGTCAGGTCCTCCATTTGGGCAGCCGGAGGCAGCTCGGTGGGTGATGTTCTCTTCAGCCGGGGCCCCCGGGGGGAAGCTTTGGGACTCCTTTCCTGAATGATGAGTTGTTGAATGAGAGATATGGCCAGATTTATAAACTGTAAAGGGTGGATCAGGATCCAGTGTTGGTCACTCTTGCAAAGAATGAATATATACATGCCAGTTTTGCAAAAGCTAGGAGTACTAAGGTGCTCTATATAGGCCCTTTTCACTTTCGATTCGGACCCCTAGTCTGGTTCCCCATCAATCAAACGCGGACAATGCCCGGATCTCATCTCCGTTTTCTCTTGCGTTTGTAACGCTACCGTGTGAGTTCTGACCAAGGCATCATATGGATCCAGGATCCATATGGCTGGATCCATATGGTATAGCAACACCTGTTGCTGGCGAAAGGTAAGTGGAAGGTGCCCCATCCCTCGTCGCAGCGGGTCCTTGGGACACGTTGCAACTCTGTATGGTTTCCCATCCATTGGCAATTCATGCTTCACGAAGTTCATGATTTTGTTCATCTGGCATGACGCCAGCTGGCTACATCAGATGCCTTTTCCCCATGCAGATGACGATGGCAGATGCCGCATTTTCATGCTGGACATGTTGCACTTGATCATAGTGTGTGTCACAGCCCTTTTTGGCTCAGGCTCAAGGCAAAACAGTGCTTGTTTTTTCTGAAACTGCTGTCATCATGGTGGCTAGGCAGCGGTTTCAGATGTTTGAAAGTGCGCAATTCCATTCAAAAGATGATCTGCCGAATTCCATGTGCAATCTACTGAAGCAAATTGAATCACTCTGTTGGATTGGGCATAACAGAGTGTTGAATCACTTTTTGCCAAAGCAATCGTTGAATCAATTGTTCGATCAATTGTTGAAACAGGATGATGGTTCAACAACTGAATCAGTCATGGGAGTTGCTGAATCCACGGGTGAGTCTAGTCTAGTTAAATCAAGGTTGAACAAATTGTTGGATCAATAGTTGTATCAATTCCTGAATCTAGTTTAAATCAGCCGTGACATCAGACGGATTACATAGATCATTGGATAAATTTTTGAGAGAATCGTTGTACAAGCTTGTGAAGCAAGGTGTTGAACCTATTCGGATCAAGGTTGAGTCAAGTTGAGCCCGTTGCATCTTCAATTCACCCAGTCACCCTTCAAAACACCAAGGCGGGATTCGAGGTGGTGCCACTGGTCCCAGTTGATGAGGAAACCGGTTTCCATGAAGGCACGTGGACCGACAGTGGAAAGTGCTGCAAAAAGGCAGTGCTGGGAGCATTGGCTGTGGCAGCTCTGGGGCTTTTCGGGCTTTGTGTCGGGCATGTTGCGTACGCCAAGCCGATTGCCCTGAATGAGTTGGCTCAGCCGAGTGTCACGAGTGACTTGGGAGCTGCGGGCATCAAGCAGGACGTTGGAACTTTCGGCGATGACATCCTGGAAGACGACTGGCCGGTTCTGAAGAAGGACTGAATGTATTGAACGCTGAACTGAAGGTTCACCGATCGAGCTTTCAAAAAAGATCCGGTTGATGTGAATTACCTGTGACACATTCTTATTTGGCCATTTGCCCCAGAAAAAGTTTCATGTACTTTTCCAACGTTGAACGATTTGCCATCATACCGTTTAAGGGAAAGTTAGAATGCGGTTTTGGCTTCGCGTGATGGTGGCCCGTTTGAACCCCTCCTCACGGCAGTCGCGTTCTAACTGAAGGATCACCTGTAAATAGCAGCCACACAGTTAGAATGCGGCAGAAGAAGGTGTGAGAAAATGTATGTTTAACTGGTATTTTTTTTAGGTGAAATGGAGTTAGAATGCCTTGGTTGAAAAACACACCAATAGCCCATGTCGCACAGTTTTTGCTGGTATATGCGCGGAAAGGCTCAGTTAGAAAGCCTGCCGTTCATGCTTTGCCGAAGGAAGTTTAGAAGTCAAACTTCCGACAATATGGAGAGATGGAAAAGCGTAGGTGGGAAGAGCCAGAGAAGAGAAGAGAATAAGAAAGAAGATCAGAGAAGAGAAAGAGTCAGAGTAGAGAAGATGCAGGTGCGCGAAAAGGTAGAAAAGTCGCGAAACACTGTGTTTTTTCAATGATTTGTGGCTCCGGAGGGTCGAAAAGTAGGCTTGCTAAAGCATCGGGTGCAGAGCCGTCTGGGGAGATGAGAGATGACAATTTGCACGCCGTTGTGGCGCGAAGCACATTTCGAAGTCAACAGTGAAAAATTTGACTCAGACCGCTTTTGGAAGTTGAGATGATGAAAAAGCGCACGCCGTTGTGGCGCGAAGCACAGTTCGAAGTCAAAATGTAGAAAGCACTTCACACTCCGAGCACTTTTGGAAGTTGCGATGTCGAAAAAGTGCACGCCGTTGTGGCGCGAAGCACATTTCTACGTCCAAATGTAAAAACACCACATGCTCGGACCACTTTTGAAGGTTCAGATGTGGTTTCGCGTGGCAGGCGCAAGGGATTCTGCACCTTACCAAAAGTGAGCAAAAAAACGTGAGGGCATGGTAGAATCTCCAAGACGATGGCAGGCGTGGGACATTTGAAGAGGATCTGGAAAGATGCATTTCACATGGCAGGAGACATGTTCATCAGAGATGTTAGGAGGTCAGGGCGCTGATTTCCTGAGAGGGGCTGCATTTTAAGCATCAGATCTTCAGGTTTGCTAAGATGATTTTGCGTCACAGTTGCAGCACTTCGTATGACCTGGCATCACTTTTGCGGGCAGGCGCAGCACTTTAAAGAGATGCAGTGCAAAAATCGCGAAACATATTGGTACGAGGCCGTCAGCTCTGCACTCAGCTTTCCATTGTTGAAGGAAGTCTTGCAGAATTGCTTAGTTTTTGATCTTGTCAACTTCGAAAATTGAAGGAAGTCTCGCAGAATTGCTTCGTTTTTGACGTTGTCAAGTTAAAACATGGAGGAAATTTCGGGGAATTGCTGCGTTTTCGATGTTCTGAAGTTCAAAAATTGAGAAAGTCTCGCAGAATAGCTTCGTTTTCAAGCTTGCAGATAGACAGGTAGATAGATAGATAGATAGATAGATAGACAGATAGACAGAAAGATGGCTAGATAGACAGACAGGCAGATAGAGAGATAAACAGATAGACAGATATATGGACAGATAGATAAACAGATATAGATAGATAGATAGATAGATAGATAAATAGATAGATAGATAGATAGATAGATAATTAGATTAGATTAGATTAGATTAGATAGATAGATAGATAGATGGATGGATGGATGGATAGATAGATTAGATAGATAGATAGATAGATAGATAGATAGATAGATAGATAGATAGATAGATAGATAGATAGATAGATAGATAGACAGCTGCAACTACACTACACTACTGTTACACTACACTACGCTACAACTACAGCTACAGCTACAACTACAACTTGAACTACGCTCCTTCAACTACTACAACTACAACTGAAACAACTACAACTACACTTCAACTACAACTTAAACTACAACTACAATTACCATTACACAACACCACAGCTACAACTACTACAACTAGTACTGCAACTACAACTACAGCTACAACGACAACCGCAAGTACAACTACAACTGCAGCTACAACAACTATTGCAGCTACTGCTGCTACAACGGCAACTGCAACTACAACTGCAGCTACAACTACAACTACCACCACCAGTAAACCACACTACAACTACCACTACCAGTAAACTACGCTACAACTACAACTACAACAACTACAACTTCACTACAACAACAGTTTCCACGACACCACAAGTACAACTACAACTGCGACTACGACTACACTAGAAATACAGCTACAACTGCAACTACACCTACTACAATTAGTGCAACTACAATTTCAACTGCACTTCAACTACACTACAACTACAATTACATTGCACTTCGCTACACTGCGCTACATCCTGCAGTTGTGGGTGAGGTGACCGCTGCAACCACTCCAAAAATCACAGCCACCTTTCGGTCCATCAGTGGATCCGCTCTGCTATCCATGTATCACAACAATTCACCTTTCCTATAGTTTCCTATCTTTGAAACTTCTGCCGCCGCCTTGTGCGGTACTACTCGTACTCTAGTGACAAGTGGGAACACAAGTGATATACAAATCTCAGTCGAACATTCAGGCAGCCTGCGAATGCCATTGGGGGAGGCTGTTTATTCATTCTGCGCTCCACAAGTTTTGTTCGTTTCCTCTTCTCTATTTTTTTCCCATTGATCTATATCTGCTGTAATTTCTGTGGGCATTCTATCTGTTGTTTTTCCCCGCTGTAGCCACGTGCTTGTGACCTGGAGGGAGCATGGACTGCCCTTTCCTCTTGTCCGATCTTATCCGCTTCTCTTTCTTTGTCCTTTTTCTTCTCTAATGTTCCTTTCCCTTCCTTTTCTTCTACGTCTTTACTGCCCATTGATCTATATCCACTATAGCCACGTGTTTGTGACCTGCAGGAGAATCAGGAGTGCCCTTTTCTCTTATCCTCTTTCCTTTTCTCTTCCTTTCCTTCAGAATGCTGTTTTGGCTTCGCGTGATGGTGGCCCGTTTGGCCCCCTCCTCACGGCAGTTGCATTGTAACTGAAGGATCACCTGTAAATATGCAGCCACACAGTTCGACTGCGGAAGAAAAATTGGTGAGAACATATATGTTTTGACTGGTATTTTACAGGCAAGATGGGTTAGAATGCCTTGGTTGAAAAACACACCAATAGCCCATGCCGCACAGTACGGAATTTGTGCAAAGGGGTCTCTGAAAACAACAAGAATTTAAAAACAGGTGGTGAGGCATTCTAAGTGAATGGATTTTTGCCGTGCGTTTGCCGCATTCAAACTGAGCTGGTAAAATATTTGGAATTCGCGGAGGCATTCTAACTTTCACCTTAAGATTATAATTTGGCTGACCATTCATGAAGGGGATGAGGTTATGTTATGACATGCTATCACTTATTTCCAAACCAGGCTCCAAGGGCCCCAAGGATCCCAAGGCGACAAAAACTAACACTCCACTTCTATCCGTTTGTATAGCTGATCTATGTTGATCGCTGAGGAGATCAAGAGTGAGCAATACAACCCCGCGGGCTGCTTCGCCAAGTTGAGCTTTGCCTCTGCCTGGAGTGCCTCGCTCGGGTTGAAGTTGATGGCCGCAACCAAGGACAGAGCTCGCTCCCGGCGGTTTCCCGACAGTCGTGCAGCACAACGAAGATGGCAACACAACAAGACTGTTGACACTTAACACTTTTCAAATTTGTCTCCAAGGTCCAAGATGTTAGAAGTGTGAACATGATTCAGCATTATTTCATTCCCCATAAGAAAACAATGGAACCATTCCTTGGCTGGCTGTTTTTTATTGCCTTGGGCGAATTTGTTAGTGGCTTCACTGGCAGGTTTTTGTTTGTGAATGGAAGGCTTTCACTGTGAAACTTTCACTATTCTCAACTGACCCATGACTATGATTGGGGTTACACAATGCCGTTGCTCAGGGAAGCTGCTCTTGAGATAGCTTTATTGTAATCTGTAGCCGTAGGTAAACAAAGCCGCATATGATTGCCGCATATACCCGTTTTTGCATTTGGAGATGTTCATCCACTTCTTGCCTCCTTGGAATGTTCCTTTACATCCGCTGAATTCATCCACCCTCCTGTTGTTGGTTGTATCACTCCACCCCTGGTACTGGCACGGTTCCATCAAGCCAGGAGTGCAACCCACGAAGTTACCGCAATGATCCAACGCCCTTCCGGCGGCTACACGAAGTACACCAAGTGCCAGGCTTGCCGCAGGAGGCGGTGCATTACCCCACATCTCCATGGGCCCAGCCAGCTGGCTCAAACTGCCGAGTCTCGGGTGATAGGTACGAAACAGTTGAGACATGTTGAGACATGTTGAGACCTGTTTGGTACATCTATACACTTCTTCCCCAAACAGGTTTTACCTGTGATGGGTTCTTACTTCATCTTACTTCTGGCCCTGGCGGTGTCGGGTTGCTTGGTTCCTCTGTTTTCCTGTTTCATGGCTCCGGTTGTCTCGAGTTGTCTCTGCCTGCTGCGTTGGCTGCCTTTGGTTGCATCTGGCTGTCCGGGGTGGCTATGGTTGCTTGGATTGCTTTTTTTCTCCGGCTGCCTCTGGCCGTGCTGGGTTTTGTGGCCTGCATGTGTAGGTATGTTGTTTTTGCCTTTGTCTCGGGCTGTGCATGGTTCTTGGGTTCATGTTCTCAAACTTGCTGGGTTCACCTATGAAGCGCATGAAGGGTTCTGGTGCCTAAGGAATGGTGGTATGGACGGGTCTCCGGTTGCGCTTCTTTCTATTCAGCTCTGCTGGTTTGCTGGGCCGCAAGATTTGTGGCATCTTTTTAATTGCTTGGTTCTCCATGTTCTATTCAACTCTTTCGGGTTGCAGGGGCGGTTTCTTTTTCCTGCTTGGGGGGTCTGCGCTGGAAGCAAAATGGGACATGCCATTGAATGGCGGGGGGCGCCGTTTTGAGACATAGCGAATTTTTGCACACGAGCTGCTGATTCACGAAGAACGGTGTGTGTGTCCCACAGTGTGTGTGTGTGATTCAGAATTCGCAGACATTTTGGTGCCGCGGATTCAGGCCATTTGTCATATGAAAAACCCTGAGAGGCTATGATTTTGGTTGGCGCCCGCAATCGAGCCAGCTCGCCAAGTCACGCGGGAATGGCTTCCCTTTGTAAACTAGGTCCTAGGATGTCCTAGGTTCCATCCATGGGGATGGTTGTAGTCATGCATTCTGATGTGTATTGTTTTGCTTAGTGTTGTTTGCAAAGCTCACATCGCCCAAGATGGCCGCTGTCGCCAAGGTATAAGGAATCGGTTGGCCCGGTCGTGAAAGATGGTGAGAAAGACACTGACATCGATATCGACGGCCTGGCGGCTGAATCGGCCTACAACTTGACCGAGGGCCTGTTACGACTGAAGACTCGCTTTGCCTTCGGCAATCGTTGGACCATGGAGGGTTGGCACTACATGAAGGACGGCAGCTCCTGGTTTTCAGATAGTTGAACCTTAGGAGCGGGATAGGCAATAACATCATTGGTACAAATTTGTCCTGCCCCTTTTGTTTGAGAGGCCCTTGGCAGGCGTTTCTTTGATACGTTTCCGCATGCCAAACCAGGCATTTGCCCTAATTTGCCCAGCGTTGTCCTTTCGGCGGCAAATCTGCATGATGGGGTGGAGGCACAAGGCACAAGGATTCCATTGAAAGACGCGGGTGCCAAATTGGTTTCTTCCCTTTCCTCCTGATTTTCCTCTCCCCTTTCCTTGTGCCCTGCCATGCCCTGCCCGTCCCCGAAGCGCCTTGCATCGTTGCAGGAGCACCACACTGGTTGCGTGTGGGACACCCGGCGCAATGAGAGTGCTCCAGGCCTCCGGCTGTGCTTCACAGGAAACGGCCTTCTTGCCATCGATGCTAGGTCCTGCGAGGTGTTGTCGCATGTTGTCGCGTTTGTTTGATGATTTTGCTTGATGGCGCTTTCTTCGGTTTGCTAGGTGCGGCTAGATGGTTTCGAACCATTTCGAACCCATGTGTTTAATGAATGGTTTCTTAGTGGTTTTCCGCGTCGTGTGTAACATTTTCCTGAATGGTTTTGTTCCCCAAACAGTGTGTCCACACTGAGGGGTTCTTACGGTAGGTAGAAAGGCCGGTGCTTGATCAGGGTGCTCACTCTAGACCGCGGCATTTTTCCTGTAAATTTCTGTCTACACTGGCTCTTGTGAAATCTTGACATGCGTTTCGACTGCGCCGGCTCGCACAAAATGTGTGTCCGCGTTCTGGGATCATTTTGGTCCGCGGCATTCTACCTGTAAATTTCATTAAATTTCCGTATAAAGTGGTCTTTGTGAAATCTTGACATGCGTTTCGACAGCGCAGGCTCGCGCAAAGTCTGCGGCGTGGTTTTGGCCTGCGGCATTTTACCCGTAAATTTCAATATCAAGTGGCTCTTGTGAAATCTTGACATGCGTTTCGACTGCGCAGGCTCGCACAAAGTCCGCAGCGCGGTTTTGATCTGCATCATTTTACCTGTAAATTTCCGTATCAAGTGGCTCTTGTGAAATCTTGACATGCGTTTCGACTGCGCAGGCTTGCACGAAATGTATGCCTGCGTTCTGGGCTGTCCGCGTTCTGGGCTCATTCTGGGACACGCGTAGGCTCGCACAAAGTGTTTCTTTGCGTTCTACTTCTTGTCTTCTCTTGTCGCGTCTTCTCTTCTCCTGTTGTTTGGAACGTGGCGCTGAACAAGCAAACAATTTGTAGCTTGCAGCATAGGAAGAGACGCCCTTTTCATGATCCAAAATACATCGCCAGAAATTGTTTTTCTCCAAGCACCACCACCGCCACCACCGCCACCACCACAACCACCACCATCATCATCATCATCATCATCATCATCATCATCATTATCACCTTCATCTTCATCTTCATCTTCATCATCATGATCATCATCATCATCATCATCATCATCACCATCATCTCACCATCATGACCATCATGGCCATCATGACCATCATGACCATTATGACCATCATCATCATCATCATCAACATCATTCCCACCACCATTATTATCATCGTCATTATACTCATCATCATCATCATCATTTACCCTCCTCAGCATCATAATTTTCCTCCTTCCCTGCATCAGCACCCTACACCTTTTCATCATCCACTGCATCTTCCGCATTATCATCCTCATCCTCATCCTCATCCCCATCCTCATCACCATCATCATCATCATCATCACCATCATCATCATCACCATCATCATCCTTACCATCATCACCACCTTCATCATCATCATCATCATCATCATCGTCGTCATCATCATCATCATCATCATCACCTTCATCTTCATCTTCTTCATCATTAGCATCATCATGATCATCATCACTGTTATCATCATCCTAATTCTCGTTCTCATCATCATCATCACCATCATCATCATCATCATCACCACAATCATCATCACCCTCCTCTTCACCATCATCATAATCATTTTTCTCCTCAACATCATCATCTTCCTCCTTCTCTACATCAGCATCCTCCACCTTATCCTCCTCCACTCCATCTTCCGCATTTCATCCTCATCATCGTCATCATCATCAGCATCAACATCATCATTGTCATCATCATCGTCATCATCATCGTCATCTTCACCATCATGGTCACAATCACCATCACCCTTACCACCATCATCATGATCATCATCATCATCATCATCTTTGTCGTCGTCATCATCATCATCATCATCATCATCATCACCATCATCATCGACATTATCATATGTTATCCCCCCACTCTCCCACACTGTTTGGGGTCTCTTGTTGCGTATTGTAAGGATTTGAGATAGAGAGAGAGATAAGTATATAATATAGTATGTTTTCATTTAGATGATGTGACAACCAGTGTACGCGCAGATAGACAGGTAGAGGGATAGACAGACAGACAGGTAGACAGACAGACAGACAGACAGACGGATAGATAGATAAATAGACAGATAGATAGATAGACAGATAGAGATAGAGATAGAGATAGAGATAGAGATAGAGATAGATAGAGATAGGTAGAGGTAGAGGTAGATAAAGATAGAGATAGATAGAGGTAGATAGAGATAGAGGTAGATAGAGATAGAGGTAGATAGAGATAGATAAAGATAGACAGAGAGACATAGAGTCAGATAGAGATAGATAGAGAGAGATACAGATAGATAGAGAGAGATACAGATAGATAGAGAGGGGCAGATTAGAGATAGATAGAGTCAGATAGAGATAGATAGAGATAGGTAGGGATAGATAGACAGAGATAGAGATAGATAGAGATAGATAGAGGTAGATAGAGATAGATAGAGATAGGTAGAGATAGGTAGAGGTAGGTAGAGATAGATAGATAGATAGATAGATAGATAGATAGATAGATAGATAGAGATACATAGAGATAGATAGAGATAGGTAGAGAGAGATAGAGACAGGTAGAGATAGAAAGCGGTAGATAGATAGATAGATGGATGGGTGGATGGATAGATAGATGTTTTAGTATATTACAGTTCATTTCATCTATGTGTATTGAAATATTTAGCATGCATGCACGCACGCATACACATACGCATGCATATGGATATGCATATGTACATACACATAGATACACATGGACATCTGCATATACATATGCATATGCATTTGCATATCCACACGCATATGCATACGCACACAGATATACGCATGCACATTATACTTTTTACGCACACACACACACTTACATTTTCACCGAAGGAAGTTTAGAAGTCAAACTTCCGACAATATGGACAGATGAAAAGCAGAGATGGGAAGAGGCAGAGAGAAGAGAAGAGTAGAAGAGAGAAGAGCAAAAGAGAGAAGATCAGAGAAGAGAAAGAGTCAGAAGAAAGAAGATGCAGGTGCGTGAAAAGGTAGGAAAGTCGCGAAACACTGTGTTTTTCCAATGATTTGTGGCTCTGGAGGGTCGAAAAGTAGGCTTGCTAAAGCGGCGGGTGCGGAGCCAGCTGGCCAGATGAGAGTTGAAAAATTGCACGCCGTTGTGGTGCGAAGCACATTTCCAAGTCAAAATGTACAAAGCACACCAGCTCCGGAGCACTTTTGGAAGTTGAGATATCGAAAAAGTGCACGCTGTTGTGGCGCGAAGCACAGTTCGAAGTCAAAATGTACAAAGCACACCATGTTCGGACCACTTTTGGAAGTTGAGATGACCACTTTTGGAGGTTCAGATGTCGTTTCGCGTGGCAGGCGCGGGGGATTGTGCACCTTGTCAAAAGTGAGCAAAATGTGAGGGTTTTGTCAATTCAACTACAACCACCACCACACCACACCACACTCCAACACACTACACTATAACTACAACTACACCTTCACTACATTCCACTACACTACACTACACTCCACTACACTCCACTACACTACACTACACTCAATTACGCTCAATTACGCTCAATTACGCTCAATTACATTCAACTACACTCAATTACACTCAATTACGCTCAATTACATTCAATTACACTCAATTACACTCAATTACATTCAATTACACTCAATTACACTCAATTACACTCAATTACATTCAATTTCACTCAATTACATTCAATTACATTCAATTACATCAATTACACTCAATTACACCCAATTACACTCATTACACTCAATTAAACTCAATTACACTCAATTACACTAAATTACATTCAATTACATTCAATTACACTCAATTACATTCAATTACACTCAATTACACTCAATTACATTCAATTACACTCAATTACATTCAATTACATTTAGTTACATTTAATTACACTCAATTACCCTCAATTACACTCAATTACACTCAGTTACACTCAATTACATTCAATTACATTCAATTACACTCCACTACACTACCGTACCCCTACACTACACTACACTACGCTACACTACGCTACACTAGACTACACTACACTACACTGAGTACAACTACAACTACAACTGCAACTGCAACTCCAACTGTAGCTACAACTACAACTACAACTACAATACGTTACATAACGCGACACTACAACTACAACTACAACTACAACGACGCTACACTATTTGCATTACACTAGACTACACTACACTACACCACACTACACTAATTGCATTACACTACACTACACTACACTACACTACACCACGACACCGCACCACACCACACCACACTACACCACACTCAATTACACTACACTACACTACCCTACCCCTACACTACACTACACTACGCTACACTACACTACACTACACTGAGTACAGCTACAGCTACAACTGCAACTGCAACTCCAACTGTAGCTACAACTACAATACGTTAAATAACGCGACGCTACAACTACAACTACACTAACAACTACAACTACAACTACAACTACGCTACACAAATTGCATTACACTACACTACACCGCACTACACTGCACCGCACCACACCACCCCACACCACCCCACACCACACTACACTCAATTACACTACACTACACTACCCTACCCCACATTGCTTTTACGTTGAATTACATTACATTACATTACATTACATCACAATACACTCATTACACCATCGCAAATGCAACTGCAACTGCGCTACACTAATTACACTACACCATAATTACAACCCCACTACACTACAACTACAACTACAGCTGCACTACACCACACTACATCCAGCAGTTGTGGGTGAGGTGACCGACCAGGTGACCACTGCAACCATTGCAGCCACTCCAAAAAACACAGCTCCAACATCTCCAACCACCTCGCGGTCCATCAGTGGATTCGCTCTGCCATCCGTGATTCACAACAACCAATCTCTCCGAAAGGCTTCCTATTTTTGAAACTTCCGCCACTGCATTGTGCGGTACTACTGGTATGCATTTTTATTCATATTTATATACATATCAAAAGTACTTATATGTATTCAAAAATGCATATTTATATACACATACTTCCGCAGACACAGATCGATAGAGAGAGAGAGAGATATATATATACATACACATATCACATCCACAGTGTCAGTGTATATGTATATATGTATTTTTACATACATATACATATACATATACATATACATATACATATGCATATACATATACATATATACATATACATATACATATACATATACATATACATATACATATGTACATATACATATTCACATACATATACGTATACATATACACATACCTATACAGATACATGCATATACAGATACGTATGTATATATATAGTGTTTGTTGGGCAACGCGGTTGTCCCAACCAGTGCATTTTTGAAACCTTTACCTTTAGTTTTGCCGGGACATTTGAACAAATAATGTGTAAGGCATGCCATGCACGCATTCGCCCATCCGATGCTTTCTATGTGGATAGCCTGAAACCCAGGATGTCTTCGCGCCGCACTCGCTTGGGAAAACCTCTTCTGTGATTGTTTCTGACGTGGCAGCGCCCTTGTCCACATGGGTTCACTTGGCCGTGCAACGAAGTGGCAAAGATTTGGAATTCTTCATGGACGGAAAACTTGGTGGCAGGGCAGCTGTTCCGGCAGAGCTAACGGATGAAGTGCTTCCCCAAAGTCGCATCACGTTGGGTGGCTCGGTGGATGGAGACCCACATCGCAAGCTCAAGGGCATGGTGAGCAACATGCGCCTTACAAGTGATGCTCTCTACAACAAGTCTAAACAGTTTGACATTGATCCCAATCTTGACCAGCTGTTGAAGACACGATTTCTCCTCAAGAGCCATTTCATGGATGCAGTTTCAGGGCGGAGGATGAGGAAAAGTGGAAATGTCACCACCAGGTATGATGCGGAGATTCTCATGGATACGTGGAAAGCAGAGGGCCTCATCGACGACGATCACAACTTCACGCCTCCAATGAACATGACGAGGGTAGAAGTGCTGCGTCGTTTGTTTCCTTTCGAAGATCCCATCTTTAAGACGGAATTCTTGGGAGCTTTCTGCGCCAGGGTGGTTCTGCAGATTCTCAAGGAGATCACAACTATCGAGGACCGGTTGATGGATGCAGTTCCACTTTGTGATGAAACGGCCACCAGCCCGCAGTGCTACAAGGCGGTCAGCTATGCCTTCCGACAAGCTGTCAGCATTGGCCGGTATGGGGCGGAGTTACAGCCTCGATGCGTGCAAACCGTGAATGAAGACTTCCGCGGGGACTTCAGGTGGGAAGAAATGCTAGCCCTAGTCCGGGGGCCACCTTGAATTCCCAAAACGAGCAAGGGATAACGAGGGCAAAACTTCCATTCATTTTCATGTCAATACTGATGGGCCAATGGTTCATTGCCTTGTTCAAAGCATATTAAGACATTCTAAATATTTCTAAATCAGGTGCTTGGATCATGTAACATATTTGAGGTAGGTAGTGCCAGGACTCATGGCTTAGGAATGCTTAGGGCAGGTTTCGGAAGCGCCTCAGGTGCAGCGAGCGGCTTGAAGGTCTTTCCTGGGCTTTGGACGGCTTCGCTTCACAAGTTGCGAAGGCCCGTCGCATTTGCCATGACAATGACTTGAGCAGTCCCCTGTTGGACTTAGGAGCCTGTGTCGGCGAGTCCTTATCAGCCACTGGTTACATGTTTTCGGCCGCTCTTCTCTTGGAATCTGCCTTGGGCTTCGATTGTCCAAATCCAGAATTTGATGAGGAGAGGCCTCTGACCGAGACGCTCCAACTCACTTGCGCGAGAGATTCGACCGCCATTTTTCGGACCACTTTCTTGGCAGGTTCAAAGGCAGTCAGGGCCGCAGGCCATTGCGGCGGCACAGACACCCTCTGTGGTAGAAGCATCCTTCGCAGTGCTGCTGCCCTCTCTGGGGTGGGAGAAACTGGAGTTTTCTTGCGAGTCTTTTGCCACGGAGCGACCCCTTGCTGCCAAAAGAATCCTGACACCGACGAAATCGAGTGCGAATGCGAACCCAAGGATATCATTGAGAACAAACGAGATGACAAGGATGATCAGAAGCAATGTGCCAGGTTCGGGGGTTCCACGGTGAAGCTCTTGGGCTCTGCTGCCCTGGCTGCAACTGAGGCAGAAGGCCAATGCAAATTCTCCAAGACAGCAGAAAGCACCTGCCAGACCACGGTGCCAGTAGCTAGGCTTGTCTTGCAACAGCATACGGCATACCAAGATAGCGCAAGATGGTTTTGGAGTGTATGCGTGTTTTTTTGAGGGCATCTTTCTAAACATGTGACACGATTCCTCACAGTTGACGGAATTCATTTCACATCATTCAATTTCTCACCATGCTAGCAAACAACCCAAATCACCCGGGCAGTGATCCCTTGGTCCCTTTTTTAGATTCTCGACAGCGGCTGCGAAGCCTGGATTCTGACTGGGTTTTTAAAAGTGCACATTTATTACTTGACCCCTACCAATAATATATATATATATAGAGGCTTTACGGATCCCTTCGAACCATCCTTTGGAGGGTACGGAGTATTCGTGTACTTTATATGTTTATGCCTTTGGAACATGTGTTTCCGAAGTTTCCTTGCTCCAATAACTTTGAGCGAAAAACCAAGGCGGCCATTGCAGGCCTGGGCTTTTTCATTGAGAATGCGGCCAGAGCAAGCAGGGACTGTCCTCCAAGCGCGTTTCCACTCGATCCTGAGGACAGGGATGAACGTGCTTCGTTCGGATGCAAACCCACCGCCTGTTTGCAACGCATTTTCATGGATCATCGTTTAGGTCACGTCCCCAACCATTATGCATTGCTTGGTTTGTTTGCATACTGTAGTGATGAGTTTCATGGGAATGGTAGGGGTTTGTGCTGGCTAGTAGACATGTTGTTCTAGTATCATGCCCAATTCCCCAAACAGTGTGGTCACACTTCCGGTTACTACGGTGGTTGGCCCGGAGTCTATTGGTGGGGGCGGTGGGCGTTGGCTCTTGCGAAGGGATTGTGCGTGTCAAATGATTTTGCAGGTGCCTGTGCAACCCTTTTCGGGGATCGTGCGTGTTACATGCTCCAATGTCAGGGATGTTGAGAGTCATCCACCCGCTCATACTCATTTTACTCATTCTTCCTCATTCATATTCATTCAACTTCATCTTCATTCATTCCCGTTCAAACTCACTCATACCCATTCAAACTCACTCATACTCATTCAAACTTCATTCTTACTTCTCACTCATGTTCACTCACACTCACTCTTATTCACTAAAAATGTTTACCATCACTGCCTCACCCAGGCACGCACGTACTCAGTCAGTCAGTCACGCACGCACGCACGCATTCGCGCTCTCACTCACTCACCCACTCAGGCAGTGCGTGCGAAGTTGTTGTGGGCGCTGTTTGGGGTCTCTTGCCGGGATATTTTTTTTAAAGGAATTGATTCTTACTCATCCAATCGATGTCCATCCTCTTTGTGTGAGAGCCAACCAACAACATATGGGAACTACTTGGTCGAGTGGTGATCCAAGAATCGCACCAGGAGAGAAGGATAGACGACTTCATTCTCGGCTGGGCTGACCCCAGAGATTTCTATCAGCGCCTGATCTGAGTGTTCCTGGGAGATTGGTTGCGATGTTCCTACTACGATTCGTGCATTTTGAGTGAGCATTTGATAATTTTGGCATTAACAAATTTTCATGACTATTTAGTTTGGAAGACATGTTGAAAATGTTTTCTACTCTGGCACTCTGTTCGCAGAGAGGGACATTCAACAGTAGTTGTATGACTTGCATTTTGGGTTTCACGCATGTTTACCGCTAGGGTGACAGAATTCTGTCTTACTCTTTTTGCAACTGGGATTGTTAAATATTATATAACCTGGAGCACCTTATGGTACAGAAAAACTTGTTCAAATAGAGTTTTGGTACGCAAAAACTGCAAACGAACACATTTCCATTTTGCACATCTAAACGAGCAGTTTTTTTAGGGGAACCCATTTCAACCATGTTGGTCCATATCGTATCTTTGGAGCCCCTGGGTTTGGTGTCTTCCATTTATCTTCATATTACTGGCAATCATGCATGTATATCATGCTAAATTATTCATCTTGCTCGGGCCCTTGCAGTGTTTGGTCTCGGCTGTCCTTTGTTAGCCAGCCCCTTTGAGAACTTGATGGCTGGAGAAGGACAGGATGTTGCTGTTTCATGAACAGTTTTCATTTCATGTTGTAACTGTTTCCCATGAAGTTCAGGAGTAAAATGGGGGGTTATCACCCCGGAGACTCAGCGCATGGGCTTCTGTCAGATCTTTTTCCACAAGGTTGGGTGGTGCCTTCAATCCTCCATGAGTAGGCCAGAGTTGTTGTAAGTAAATCTGCTCCAGGTGACTATCTCTTTCGAGTGCTCCCGCTGTCTAGCTGAATCTGGTGATGTTGTCATATTTGGTTTGACATGTCAAACATGCAAGGATGCACGCATGAACTTATGCATACATGGCATATCACGGCATGCATGCAAGGCACGCATGTTGACCAAAGCACGCATGCGGATCAAAGCATGCATGGTGTTGAAGTCATGCATGAATGGGAGGAAATTGGCTCAGGTGAGTTTGTGCCCAAAACATGGCACATTTTGAACAGGCTGCGCTTCTCGCCACCGCATGGGCCAACGATGTCGAGGTGAAAGCAATGGCATTAAACCACGCGATCGTCCAAGTTTCTGCCAGCAAGAAACTACGAAGAAGTAGGGTGCTAAGTTACACGGTGATTTTTTGACATTGTTTACCACATGCATGTTTTTTTACCGGTTGGTATCTTGGTGCATCAAGTTTCCAGCTAGGTGACCTCAAGCGGAATCCTGCTGCCATTGGCCTGGCTGTGAAGCACTGTGGCCTCCGGCCTTCCTTGGCCATGTTTGAGCAAGCTGCACATCAGTTCTTTGCACTTGCCTTGCCCAGAGGTAAGGACATTTTCAGCGACTAAAATGCAGTTAAACTTACTATGGGCTTGGTCAGGCATCAGTTAGTAGAGTCAATTGCTGGCCATCTAAGGCACGAGAGCAAAGTTGCATGCGAAAATCACTTTGAGACTGGTGTATGCGTTCTCGAGGATTGCCAAGTTACTTGACTCGGACTAGTATGCATTGGTATCTCATTCATGGTTATGGTGCATAGGTAGAATATGTGCCATGTTTGGGCAACCTAGGCGCCCTCATCGCCCTCGGTGCCCTGAGATTCGCAAGATCTATAGTATTGCAGGTCTTCCGCTTGGAGGTGCCTGGATTGATGTTGCATGCATGCATGCATGCATGCATGCATGCAGAAGTTTTTGTCATCTAAAATCTAAATTATGTGCCCATGGTGCCCCAGGTGATGATGGGGACTCCGACTCCAGTGGGTCTGAGTCGTCAGACTCTGAAAGTGAAACTCGCTTGAACATGCATGCATGGAGTGGTTCATTGTTTCCAGCATTTTTTCCCCCATATGCAGCAGCGTGCATGCATGCCAAACTAGGAAGATGAGACATTGCATTCCGTGACCAATCCATCTGATGTTTCTGAACGTCCTGGAGAACCAGCAGCAGAGCCATCGGGTTGCTCTGTCCCAGACATGGGTCATGTTCAGAAGGTGGCTGAACAGGATCCAGGCTGTGACCGTGGCATGAAGCTGGATGTGGATCAGCTTCGTTCCCAGGCCACCCCACAGAAGACTTGCAACTTGGATAAATATTTTCTTGCGGAAGAAGTCAAGAGGAACAATTGGAATGTATCATGCATGTGTGATGTTTTCCAAAAAATGGTATTGAGGTATTCCAGCCCCTTCTCCAAGCCTGGATGGACAGACAGAAGGCCAGGCAATCAATATCGAGAGAAAAATCAGGTATTTATCTTTGCTTGCAGGTCATCCATCGACATCAACACCGGAAAGGACTGTCAGTCTATGCAAGCGTATCTGTGGTGGGAACGTGTATGGTCATATAACTTTTTTGGTATGTGGTCAGACATTGTTTTTTGGGAGTATTCCCTTTGAAGTGTTCAGTGGAATGGTATCAGCTTGCATCTTTTGAGGTAAGCAGTTGCTGGCGCTGGAGCTTGAAGAGTTGGAACTGCTTTTGTTGCTGAAGCAGCGGGCTGGATGTAAACGGAAGGATGACGATGAGCGTGCAGCAATTAAACCTTACCATCCAGTGCCAAAACCGCCTTCTATCAGTGGGATCCTCACTAGTAAAACGGTGTGAAAATATCTGAAATTCTGAAATGAGCTGTATTCATATGAGCAGAATATATCTGCCACAATGAGGCCCGGATAACCTGGAGACTTTGGACATGGAGTTCTCTGATGATGCGATCTTTGTCCACGGTGACATCAATGTGGATGCATTGCCTGAAGTGGAACCTGATTCGTGTACCAGGGTTTGGGCTCAGATGGTTCGTGAAGCAGATGAACGCGAGGCCCGTGAGGAGTTGGAAGCCATGCCAGCCATGGCCACATGCCAGGTGGAACCTGTTCTTGAGGAACATGTGAAAATGGTGGGCCATGCTTGTGCGGATGGCAGTGTTGAACAGGGCAATGACATGGGCGATGACTGTAGTGACATCACCCCAACCGAACCAGAAGAATCGGGAAGTGAAGATGGAGATCACCCTGATTGCCCAATGGTCAACTCTGCCCCTGTTGTACCTGATGTCGCAGTGCCAACTTGTGCACCAGCTTCTGTGGGTTCCAAGCACAGCATGGACAAGACAGTTCCTTGATTGATGGAATTCACACAATTTGATCAACATGCATGCATGCATATTCAACTCTATCTCCTCAAACCTTTTTTTGATTTCAGCATTGTGAGGCTGAGATGCCTCCACCTTTGTGCGCAGCTTTGATCGCAGAAGCTGCTAACCTTGGAGCTCCTCCCCAGAAACCCCGTGGACGCAAGCCCAAAGCCAAGGCTGAGGGAGAACCTGCAGATGCCCCCAAGCGGGGAAAGGGGAAGGGAAATGGAAAGGGGAAGGGAAAAGCCAATGCGAAAAGTAAGGCAAAACCTAGCAGCAGCTGAGGCCAAGGCTAAGTCAGCAAAGCGAGTCATGACAGATGAGGAAAAAAGGTTGAAGTCCAAAAAGGACACTGCATGGCACAAAGCCCGCAGAGCAGCAAGGAATCAGGGTTGTTCCGTTGAGGATGCAAGAGTGGCAGCTGCAGCGGTTTCCTGGCAAGATTGAATCCCATGCATGGTCACGCATGATTTGTCTTGTGTGTGTGTGCGTTCAGAGCACCCCATGATTTTCATGCATACTTATGCAGATGTTGCCACCGGTTTTTCTTTCTATTGCTTAGGCTTCTAAGCAGGTGGTTGCCTGAAGCCTGAGATTGGGGTGTGCAATGAAGCAGGATTACCTGCTGTGTTGCTTTTCTTTGGAGGTTTGCCATGCTGACAAGCATGCCTGCACCCGAGTACCTTTAAACTTAGGGGCCAGTGCGTGAAAACATGCACGTGGAGCTTAGTTGTTGAAAATCTTTAGAGTTGCTGGAAGCTGGGGTGAACATTGCGAAAAGTATTGCGCATGTGTTTGCATATGAACATCGCTGCCTGACATGAATTCATGTTTCATGCATGCGAGCTTTAACTCTCAAGTTGCTGAAGTTCACATCAAGGGTTGTGTTGTCTTGATGTGTTGCATAGGTATGATGTTTCCTCCGTGGCACTTGGCTTTTGAGCCCAGTGCCCCATGTTGAAGAGCACTTGTGCTCCTGTTGTCGCTGTCTTGGGAAACCTTTTCAATATTGAGACTCTTGATGGCTTTAGCTTTGTGATGATGGTGCTGCAGCCTTTTTTTCTAGCGATGTCAAGCAATGCAATAGGGGCCAAGCGGGGTAGAAGGGATAAAGACCAGGCCAGTTCCAAGTGCACATGAACTGTGTGCTGATGCAGCTTGGTTTTTGTGACTCGTGCAGGAAGCTGGATTCCGAGCCAGAGTGGCTCCTCCTATCCACCTCTCTCCCGTTTTGATCTCAGATGATGCATATATCATATATCAAAATTTGCCTTTTGCCATGTATGTAGTTTCAGGATGACCCTACAAATTGGGAACATGTGCTGCAACGACTTGGTGTATGAGCCTCAGAATGCCTGTGCTGTTGTTCACTACTTCTTTTTTTGTGTGTTTGTTTTTTCACCTGAGGTGAGCAATGATACAATTCAAACAATGTCCGAGGAGACATATGCATTCCCTCCATGCATGTGGTGAGAACACATTTATATTGTATCCCTTGGCTGTCAGGATGCAAATTTGGCATCCGTGATGCATTCTCTTGCAAGCTTGATCCCTGTGCAGGACTGATGGGAAATGTGTTCGTTCAAAATTCTTCAGCTGAACACGCATGAGCATGCATGAGCACGCATGAGCATGCATGAGCACGCATGAACACGCATGAGCATGCATGAACCTTTGGACACCAATGGACATAGACGCAGGACAGCTCTGGTACCAGGTTGACTTTCCAACTTCAGTTGGCTGACAGGCTTTTGATTGTTGCTTACAATACCTAGATGACATTCATGATGCATTCATGAGTATGCTTCAGTTGATTTGTTTTGTGGTATGTCCCTGCAGGCCCGATGCGAAAAAACAACGGGTTGCCAAATCTGCCCCAGAATCAAGTGCAGAAGCAGCTCGTAATTCCCCCATCCCGACACTGAACCTTGGGAAGGCACCTGAGTTTAAAGTGATGCAGAGCTTTGCGAAGCAGCACCCAATAGGTTTACGAAACCCAGCACAGCAAAGCATTCCTAAACGGCCTGAACCTCCCCCATACCCACCGCCAAACAGAAATGTCAAAGATGACGATTCCCATGAGGACTTGTTTCGACCCAGACCTGGGATTGAAGCAAAAAGACGGCCCCAGCCATGCAAAGCAAAACCCTTAGCAAAAAGACCACCGACGCCACCTCCTTGGGTTGGCCCACTCCCGAAACCATGGTGGCCACCGACGCCACCGCCAGCGCAAACAAAAAGTTGAAGACAGCCAGGTAGGAGGCAGGGGTTGAATGGGGATGGTGTTTGAATATACATTTATTATCTGAATAATATGTTTAACATGCTTTGCTGCAGGTGCTGGCCTAGAAAACGTTCGATGGAAGTTTGAAGGTGGGGTAGGCCCAATGCGCGTTCAAACAAATATCAGAGGCAACATCCATGCATTGGTTTGTATTACTGGCAGGTGACCCCTGATGCTCTGATGGGCATGGAGCTGATGCTGCAGTTGTGGCAGATATGATTTGATGCAGCTAGAAATGGTGCGGTGCATATGCCCATTCATGACAGCAAAGCATCGACCCACGGATTCACGAAGCATGTTGTATTCATGCATGAATCTTCAACGCTTCACCATTTGGAAGGTACTTGCCATGAGTTGGCTGGTGGACGCCATGGCTGCTGGTGCCACCCTCCCCTTGCGCTTGAATGTGTCTTGAGATTGGATGGAAGTTGCACATGCATGGTCATGCATAAAGATTGTACTAGTCCTGCTGGAAAAGTTTCATGTGTAGAGTGTTGACCGGCTCAAGATTCGGTTTGGCAACGCTAGTGGCCATGCCCTTTTGGGAGCGTGGCTCGGTTGTGCAAGCGCTCACTCACTGCGGTGCTCCTAAGGCCAGTGCATGCACACTGTTTCAACATCTTTAACATGGCCTTGGCCCAGATATCTTGCATGCATGTTTATCTTGTCCTGCTTTCTTTGACAAGGTGCTGATTGCAGTGGTGTTGGGCTCAGGTGTTGATGCAACCTGAAACTTGTTGATGCAACCGGAAACTTGCTGGAACTCAACGAATGATGCATATATGCATATTTGGTCATTGTCAGGTTTTGATGATGATTTGGAATGAGGAGCTGCCATGGGATCGAAAAGAATTTGAATTCTTGGAACTTTTTTCTGGACGTGCAAATGCAAGCCGAGCCTGGTAGGGTACCCAGTACATGGTTTGATTTGCAGTGCACATGCATTTTTCTCTCGCACCTGCATGTATCAATTTCCTAGGAAGAAAAGAGGTTTCAATTTGGGGATCTATGACCGTGAATACAGCGAGAAGACGAAGAAACCCAGAAGCATGGATTTTCTGTCCCCTCCAGGCTTTGTGTCTGCTGCCAAGCTTGTTGGGCGGGGCTTGCAGTGCTACATGTTTCCTCACCACCACTTATTTTCTTTTGCTGAGGTTGGCGTTGTGGGCATGCTTGATGCTAGCCCCTGGATGTATGGCCCTGATAGGGGCAGACTGCAGTAGCTGGGGTGCCCCAAATATGGGAACCACCCTGCGGTCAGTGCTCAACAATGCGTTTGGGTATGAGAGCCGGCAGAATGTGAGGGATGGCAATTTGACTATCAGCAGGTTTCTCAGCCAGAAAACAATAGGCAGACTTGACATGTTGATGCTAATTTTGTCCATGCATGGACCCATATTTGCCATTGATTCATGCTGGTGAACTTAGGCTGGTTTTGCTTTGCATAGCAATCCTGGCGGCCCATGCTGTCTTCGTGGTTGAACAGCCACGACAAACGTTGCTGTTTGGCCATTTTCGATGGCAATGGTTTCAAGAGCGTGTATGCTATGTACCCTGCTTAATTTGCATGCATGATGTCTTCATATATTTTAATGGCCATGCATATAATTTAATATATCTGGAAACATAATGAGGTTCATATGGCGACCTGGTGGATGATGGCATATGGTCATCCAACACCAAAGAGGCAACAGGCCCGTTCTAATTGGAGTGGTATCTCAGCATTGGATGCTGGGAAATTGGCAGCTTCAGCCATGAGAGCCAAGACGAAATTCGCTACCACCAGCCATGACCTTATGAAGTGCATGCATGCAGCCCAATATGAGGTGACCATTATACCACTGTTCGTTGCTGGATGCAAGGTCGCAAAGGAAAGACTTGGACAGGAAACAAGCATCTTAAAAGCACTGGGTACCTTGGATGATTTTTTAATATCTTTCATACATGCATGTGTTTGAAAGTTTGCAACGCCGAACCATGCATGACAAACTTTGATATGGGCATACCTGAACTTAGGGTATATCCTTTTGGTTTTGGACAACGACTGCTACAACTATGGTTGGAAGATGATGTGCAGCCAAGAGCTGCTCTCAGGACACGCATGAACATATCAAACATATGTAACCTACTGGAATTTATTGTGTTCTGATGTGTTGCCTCAAATGTGCAAAGTGCTTGTGAGGAAAAAAATCGAAACCAATGATGCCCTTTCAGATAGGGAATTGTTCCAGATCCTTGAACTCAAAGATCCCTGGTCTGATGCGGACATGGCGAGCGTATTTGTATATATGATGGACCATGAAAAGACTAAGATACCAGACAGCTGGTTGGGAACAATGAGGCGATTCCGAATAGAATTGCTGAAAGAAACCACATGTGACTTGCAACTTCTGAAGGAATACAACCGTATAGTTGCACTAAGTGGATGATGTCGAAAGGCTTTAGCGCAATATTGCGCAAAAGTCGTGCGACGCAAAATTTTGCGACCACAGGCGCCGCGCGAAACGGGCGCAAAAAAATGCAATACGAGCACAAAAACGCGCAATAAGGCGCAAAAAAAAAAGTGCTCATTTTGGTTTGTGTTTTCCAGCAAAAATGACGCGACAGTTTTTGACATTTTTTTTGCGTTTGTAGTTCGTTCATAGCTGAGACATTTGCAGCATTTTTCCTCGAACCTGAAGGCGCATGGGTTACATACTGCCCTGTGCTCATGGCCAGTCGTGATACCTTGGGGGCTGGTATTGGGCTACTTCGCATGAACACAACATCTGATGATGTTGAGCTGGATGCCCGGATACAGGCGTGCATGCATGTGCAGTCGGTTGTGTGTATGCAATCATTCATGTGGGTTGCGGCATGCATGACTCTATTTGTGCTGCATGCATGAGTTTGGTTTGAGTTTCTTTTTGTACATGCATATGTAGTTTTTGACAATTCAGGAGAAGCTGGCACGTGTGAGGATGCTACAAGCTGAACTGATGAGTGAACCTACCAGGAATCTGTTGGCAGCTTCTCCAGAATCTGCAGCCCCTGCTCCTGGTGAAATGCCCAGCATATATGTTTCCATTTTTTTTGGTCTGTGGTCGTGACTAGTTGGATGTTGCGCGGTCTTCGGCAAAAGGCATGCGGTACTATGCGCGTTCAGATGGGGATGGCCAACATGCTCCTGGCAAGAAGCAGGTGTGGATAGATAATCTAGAGCTAGGTTTTGTTTTGCACTTGTTGAGACATGTGGCTACCACATGTTGCCAGGTGTTTTACCACCTATTTCGATCAAACACTTATCACTAATTGTCACCAGGTGTCTTTGGCAGTTTCTGGTCTGCCGAAGGCCGGGCCTCTTTATTCTGATGTTTTCGCGTGCTTGGGTGATGTGGGTCATGTGGGTTCTGCATGGTGAGGTTGCTCCTCCTGAGCCTGCTTGTGCAGAGATGGCCCATGTGTTGCATGTGCCCAAAGCATGGAGTACCCTCCTACTACCTATATAGATTGCGCAGGATGCTTTCTCTAGATTGTGCAGGATGGAAGCCCTGCTGTAGATGAACGACCTCCACCAGGACATCAAACTTGATTTGGCTGACAGTTGTGCATGTGGGGGGGGCAGACATGGGTTACGCTTTTTGTTTCCTTTCATATGCAAATCTTCATACATGATGTTCAGGAGATGGCGATGATTATGCTCCTAGTCCCAGCCTGACTGCAGAAGATGATGCTGCAGAGCAGAGGGAACGTGCAGAACTGGTTGAATCACTTCAAGCTATGTATGATTCCAAAGTGCACACGACTGACAAGACTGAGCATGATGTACCTCCTACAATTGCTGTCTCCCCCACTGTCCCAGCAACTTTGGAACTGGCAGCTCCAGTTTCTAGTGAGACTGGCGTGGAACGAACCCTGCTGAATGGTGAAAGTGGGACGCTTGGTGGTGCGGAACCTCCAAGTTCCACACTGCCTGTTGGCATGAACACTGTGGAAGGGGATGGGGAAAACCATGTCCCCACTGGCAGCGAAAGTGACCCCCAAAAACTGAAGCCATCAGCTGGCGTTCATGCAGTGTTGCGTGCCAGCAAACAGAAAAAGCAAGATACTGCGACTGTGCTCCAGAGTGCTTTGCTAGCTCTCGGACCCCCTGGTCAGATTCCCCCTGACCAGTTGATGAAAGAACTTGCCAACCTGCATGCACAAGTGCATGCCGGCTATACGCCTGAACCAGCAGATTCAATGAAAAGACCTGCTGATGCTATTAGCACACCACCTGAAGCCAAGACTGCGCCACCCGCGAAAGAGATGCCCCAGACCCAGAGACCTCCCCGTCCACTGGCCATTGCCCCAGTTGTTGCCAAGGCTGCACCTCTGCCATGTGTGCCTGTGGCCTCACTGCCCCCACCTGCAAAAACACCACCAACTACACCGAACACAGCAGCAGCAGCGCCCACACAGACACCACCACTTGCCACAAACACAGCAGCAGCACCACCTGCAAAGGCAGCAACACCACCCGTAGCTTCACCGGCCCCACCTGCACAAACACCAGCCGCGCCAAGCACAGCAGTACCTTCTGCCCCGCCACCAGCCCCAGCACTTGCCCTTGTTGAAGCTGGTGATGTGGCAAAGCAACTCGAGGAACTTAGGTGAAGTGCTGAGACAGGAAATGGAAGATTGGCAAAAACATCATTGCATGCATGTTATTTATTGGCCTGCAATGTTGATAAACTTAACCTGGACCAAGGCAGGGCAAGAAGCCTGGTGAATATGACAGGGTGGATCACCAGCCTCTTGGACAAGAAAACATATAATCGGTTTGTTTGACCTGTACTCTACACGCTTGAGACCTGAGTATGTGTGTGTGCCTTAAGTTTTTCACATTTGCTTGTCAGGATTCGACGCATGGTGATGGCCAATGGTGCGCAAGAGCTGGTCGATGGTTGGAAGAACCGTGACACACGAGCCTAAGTTCAAAAAACCTGCATGACACATGCATGGCATTGTGCACAACCTCATGCATGAGGCATGCATGACATCATGTCATTGCATGTGCGCAAAACAAATCTCAGGAGCGAAAATGAAGGAAACTTTCCTCAAGACTGTGTCCTTTGATGAGGTTGAGGCCACAGTCAGGGAAATAAGGTCTAGAAAGGTGACGGACACAGATACGGAGAAGCCGGTGACAAAGAAGATGCTGAAAGAACAGTACTTTTGGGATGAGTGCCTAGCTTAGATGTTTATGTGTTTGCCAGCTACATGCATGTCTCCCCCAAAGTTGTGTCTACGTGGATGAGCTGCTTGTACAAGTCGCTGCTGCCAGCATGCATGTTTATGTATGTTTATGTGCATGCATGCTCGGAGCTAAGTCAAATGATCGAAACGGCGTGGAAGTGGGCTGCGGAGAAAGGCAAGCTGGAGAAAAATGAGGTTAACGGAGCAGAGTATGCGAATTTGGAAGTGGACAAAGTGAGAACCAAGAGAAACGAGTCTTCGTCCAGCCTGGCCTTGAGCGCTCGTGCTGTTTTTGAGGATTCTTCTGGTTTCATGCATGAAAATTATTTGGCTTCTTAAGATGCCAGGAAGAAGCTTTTTTTTTGCAGGACCCCAATGGCAGCATCCTGGACATGGATGTTGATGCGGGTCCGGCTCGAGGAGGGGCTGGTCAGAGTCAGGATAATAGCAGCCCCCTGCCAGTGCAGACCATTCCGTGACTCGTTTTTTTTTGCAAGCACAGCGCGGCATGTGCGATAAGCAAATTGTGTTGCGCAATTTTTTTGGTCCATAGCATGACATGTGAATTCCCATTTTTTGTGGGCTTGGGCCAAGGAAAGGACCACTGGAACGAGTTCCTTTTCCAACGTTGTCCCAAACACAGTCGCCTTTCCAGCAGTTGGGGCATCATTTGCTCTTGCTGGGAAAAAAGATCGATGCTGCAACTTTGGTGAAGGAGTGGGGCATTGCATGTGCAAAATGTTGATTAGTCATATATGGACATCATGTGGCAGGAGAAGCTGGAACCACACATCTCTGACAAAAAGGCTGCGGAGCATGGGCCTTATTTATTGTTGGTGTATAGGATGATTGTGTGCTATATGTGTTCCAAGGCTGGCTGCTGGCATTGGCCAGCCCTTGGAAGAGCTGAAAGCATGGAATGCCAAGTTGATTAGTGTGCAAGCAGCAGCCATGGTGAAGTCACCTGACAGGTGAGGAAAATGTTGTGATGCTGACTATGGGGTCATGTTTTCCAGCATGCCTGGCAAGTATGCAGCATGAGAATGGTTGTACATGCAACCTACCCTGCAGGTCTGCCAAAGATGAGTTGGTGAAGGCATTCATCGAGATAACGAAGAACGACACAATCATGAACAATTGGTTGGGCCGGGCCAGGCTTATTTCTTAGATCTACCATTGTGTGGCAGTCGTGAGTATAGTTTTAGGTGTGTCTCTGCCCAACACTTTTGCAGCTAAGGTCGTGCAAGCCTCCTTTGACTGAGGAGGAGAGGGCTGCCCGGAAAGCTGCCCAGAAAAAACGCAAGGACAAGACAGGAAAGGTTAAGTCAGAAGATGATGACGACCGCTCTGGTGAGTCAAGGCGCCGTGCACTTCTACCAACACTATCAAACTGCATGTGTGCATGATTTTGTCATGCATGCATGTATATGGCATATGGTCAGGAAAAGGTCGAAGAAAGAGAAGAAATGATGGTTCACGGTTCACGCATGCACACATGACTGCCTGCCAAGTTTTGATGCTGTAGCGATGCTGATATGGAAACTCACTGCTGATTGCAGCGCTGAGCTATGTTGAGCTTGAGATGCCGTGAAAAAGCGCATGGGATTCTATTCTCTTGTATTTGCTTGCCTGCAATGCATACATTCATACATGCATGTGACTGATCGCGCGACTGATTTACAAGAGTTGCCAAGTCCCTGCGCAGGTGTCAACTTGGTCGGTGAATCTACTGGTGCCGTGCCAGTTGGACACAAAGGCGTTGAATGTGGATTTTTTGGTTGTTTCTGCTCTGCTATTTTTTGAGCTAAATTTTCATGCATGCAGACCGTAGGTGATGATGATGCAACCACTGGTGCACATGTTGACTTTGAAGAAGAACTTCTTGAAGAGTTGCTGCAACACTTTGAAACAGGAGTGGGACACTTAGAGCTGTTCATGTTAGGTTATTTGGTTCTGGTTTGATTCCTATACCCAGGCTGACAGTGCGCGCTCGTGCGTTTCGGCATGCCGGCTGACAAGTCGTTTGCAGCATCCATCTGGATGTTGGAGGCCAAGATTTCATGCGCGCTGGTTTGCCTTGAAAAGGAGCAAATATATGTTGCCAACATATTTTTCATGCATGCAGCCAAGCCTTCTTCTTGTTCTTGTTTTTTATTTTACACTCATTAGGTCGGTCCAATGTCTTGATGCAGATCGGCTCGTGGCAAAACCCGAAGCATTGGTCAAGAAACCTTCACAGTTTGATTTGCCGATGGAATTTGTCACTGCCAATCAGTGTGAGCAGTGTTCCATGTCCTTGCTTCTTTCAAGGCAAAACGTCTGTGGTACCATGGCCAATTTTGAAGTTGTCGGACTGGATGAAGACAATTTTCAAGAAGACTCGTGGCTCTCTGGTCATGAATGGCTACACCATAGATGATGACAACTATAAGCTCCAGCTTAGCAGTTTCTGGGAACTTTATCGGTGTGTTTCACCAGGACACGATGTGTACAACATGCATGGAAGGAGGCTGAGCCAGGTAATACCCATGTATTACCATGGCGATGAAGGACGAGGCAAACTTCGAAGGGCAGTGTTGGTGACAAGCTATGTGGCAGGGCTACCTAAGCGTGGGCATTCGTTTTTGTCCAGGTACCTCGCTGCTGTTTTTCCAGGGGAAAGGTATGCAGTAGGCCCTGATGGAGTTGAAACACTCCAAGCTCTTCATGAAGAAGTGGCAAAGGACTTGATGGACTTGTACCTGAACGGTTTTGATGCTGGTGGCTTAGAAGAAGCTGTTTTTTATTCATACATTATTGCCTGACGTTACCATAGAAAATCTTTTTAGCTACCTACAGGCGCATGGTAGAATGTGTCACAGGTCGTCAGGGCAGATGGCTCTGTGCAGACCATGTATGTGGCAATGATCGGGGTGCGTGGAGATTGGCCCTGGCAACGTGACCCAGCAGCATGGAACCACTTTTGCAAGTATCAAGCCCCGTACAAATTTCACATGGTGCACCCAACTTGTTTGTGCGAAGCAGGTGTACCAAGCATGTTTTTTTCTGCAGCAAAGCCATGATCAGGCAAGTGCCATCAGCTTCTAACGGGCTTTACATCGCGTCGTGTTTGTCACCTTTGCAGTGGTGAGGTCTGCTTTTTTTTGCTTTTGTGTTCGGCTTCCTTCTGCATGGCATGTGTATTTTGTGTTGCTGCAGGAGTGGTGGAGGAATGACGATGCTGCACCGTGGAGGGCTGACCGTCCTGGAGCTGACCCGACTTTTGGTCCGTCAGCTTTAAGTGTGGTTCCCGGGTGTGGCCCACTTGATGCTTGCCCTGACCAAGCTCACACATGGCACTTGGGTGTTGGGCAAGAATTTTGCGGATCCATGATCGTGCTTTCGGTGGCAGAAACAACCATGCATGCGCACGTGCATGTCAGAACTGCATTTTGAATCTTTTTGACCATGCATGTGACAAATGAGGTGCTTCTCGCTTGTAGGTTCCATTGGTGGCCTGGCACCAACATAGACCAGCGTTTGGAAAGTGCCCATGCAAGCTTTGATGCCTGGCGCAGATCCCGCAGATTGAGCACCAGCGTGACCAAATTTGAGCTGCAGACTTTCAAGTGTTCATCGCACCTTTCTTGCATGCATTGTGTGGTTACAAGTTCTAGGCATCTAGCATGCATGAACTTTTGCGCGATGCTCCGGTTTGAGGCTGTCAGATTGGCCTCGGTTTTCTGGAAAAGGTTATGACACTTCAGCTTTGTGCAGATGGCTATACCATGTCGTCTTTACCATGACCCCTGCACCAGTAACCTGATTGCAAGTGGTTGCTGAGATTGTGTTATTTTTTTCCTTTTGGTCATCTCAACTGGCCCAAGGCGACTCCGCCTGATGTCCTGGAGCTGTTAAAGTGGACAATGCGGGCCATTGATGTGTATTTCCGTGCCATCAATGTGAAGGGCCGCCGTTGGATCCCTGCACCAGAAGCTTCGGATTTGTGCCAGCACTGTCACAATATTTGTGACCCTGGGCGAAATCTAGCAATGTGTTGCTGTTAGGAGGATGTAGATTTGTGCCAAAGCATCTGCAACCTGCACTGCAAGGGCAGTGTGTTGACTGTAGGTGGGATATACTGCACTTGCAGCCTGGTGTCACCGGCAGAACTGGCACATGTTCAAGCGGAAGCCGGAGCTTCATGTCCAAGAAGAGATTGGGCACCTTTGATGCATATGTTTTATGTGCGCGTAGGTTCTCGGGTCTGCTATTCCATCTAAGATTATGTGTTTGTGCCACTTGTGCATCGACAGTGGCTGCATGGTGACAACTTCATTTTCTTTGCCGATGCTTCATGCAAAGGCTTTGGATGAAGGACCAGTTAGACCGTGGAGCGCAAATGGTGATGTCTCCCATGTGTCACCTGGATGAAAGGGCAAATGAATGCTTGCTGCCAAAATGTATGTGCGCACATGGTTGAGATTCGAATGCCTTAGGCTATGGCACATGGATGGACGAAGACTTCATAGATCCCCCGTGGTACCAGATTTTTTTTCCTGTAGGTCCAGTCCGAAAATTAAAAATGCCAAGTCAGGAAAAAAAAAATTCTCCCACCATGAATGTTGCAAGGTTAGGGTTCAGGAAAACAAATGTTGGAGCCAGGAAAGCAGGGTTAGTAACATAAGGTTGTACCACAGGATTTTATATGTTTTGGGGATTTGCTTGCCAGGATTGCATGGTTTTCCAAACAAGGTTGGGGTACAGGAAAAAAATCTCTGGGCCAATCTGTCGAACAGGAGAAGGTAGGATCTACATAAAGGTTGTGATCTTACTTTTTAATGTATTTCAGTGGTTTGTAAAAAGGTTGAATCCGATAGCTTCACTGGATTTTAATTATCAACAGTTATAAACTCCGTATGGTTTTCTTCAACAATATCCTCCTCTGTACTACCAGTTTTTTTCCTGGGGGTTCAGTACGCTTTTAAAAAACACTATTTTCCAAAAATCTAGCAGACAGTGGGTGAGGGTCCCGGGGCATGATATGGGGCCAGGAATAAAGTATCATACCAAAAAAGGCCCAGATTTTTTCCTGAAAGCTTCCTGACGTACAGTGACAGGAAATCAATTTCTGTCTGTTGTGATTGAGGGGGGGTTGATCTATCAGTCTGTGTATGTAAGGCATCAGGAAATCAATCATGAATGACTCTGATAATGGGTAAGTTTGTAGAATTCCCAAGGTTAGTAGCCAGGAATTTGAAGGTGGATGGATCAAATGGGAGTTTACTAGAACATATCTAAATGTCAAACCCCAGGAAAAAAATGTACCATGATTAATTGAGGGGGTATGATTCTTTACATGACTTTGCAAAAGGGTACAAACACATATGTTCACCTTCGCCAACCAAAAAAGTGACTTCAAGAGGCCAAGGCGCAGGGGTCAAAAATAAAATCCAAGGGGCTGGACCTTTTTTGACTGAATACTTGCGGATGATCTTCAAAGGTTGGCCCCACAGGAAAAAGTCGCATCACCAGGCCAATCATCCACAGATAGGTCATGATGGGACGAATTCAAGAATTTTGTGTCAACGCGCGCCCAATTTGCAAAACACATGTTTTTTTTGCTGAAAATACAGTTGTCCTTGCAAAAGGGTACAGACACACATGTTCAGCTTCACCAACCAAAAAAGTGACTTGAAGAGGCCGAGGCGCAGGTGTCAAAAATAAAATCCAAGGGGCTGCTCCTTTTTCTGACTGAATACTTGCGGGATAATCTTCAATGGTTGGCCCACAGGAAAAAAATCGCATCTCCAGGCCAATCATCCACAGATAGGACATGATGGGACGATTTCAAGAATTTTGTGTCAACGCGCCCAAATTGCAAAACAGACGTTTTTTTGCTGAAAATACATTTGTCCTTGCAAAAGGGGTACAACCACATATGTTCAGCTTCACCAACCAAAAAAGGTGACTTCAAGAGGCCGAGGCGCACGTGTCAAAAATAAAATTCAAGGGGCTGGACCTTTTTTGACTCAATACTTGCGGGATAATCTTCAATGGTTGGCCAACAGGAAAAAAATCGCATCTCCAGGCCAATCATCCACAGATAGGACATGATGGGACGAATTCAAGAATTTTGTGTCAACGCGCCCAAATTGCAAAACAGACGTTTTTTTGCTGAAAATACATTTGTCCTTGCAAAAGGGGTACAACCACATATGTTCAGCTTCACCAACCAAAAAAGGTGACTTCAAGAGGCCGAGGCGCACGTGTCAAAAATAAAATTCAAGGGGCTGGACCTTTTTTGACTCAATACTCGCGGATGATCTTCAAAGGTTGGCCCCACAGGAAAAAAGTCGCATCACCAGGCCAATCATCCACAGATAGGACATGATGGGACGAATTCAAGAATTTTGTGTCAACGCGCGCCCAAATTACAAAGCATATGTTTTTGCTGAAAATGCATTTGTCCTTCCAAAAGGGTACAACCACATATGTTCAGCTTCACCGACCAAAAGAAGGTGACTTGAAGAGGCCGAGGCGCAGGTATCAAAAATAAAATCCAAGGGGCTGGACCTTTTTCTGGCCGAATTCTTGTGGATGATCTTCAAAGGCTGGCCCCACAGGAAAAAAATCGCATCACCAGGTCAACCATCCATAGATAGGGGATGATGGGACAAATTGAAGAATTTTGTTCCAACGCGTGGCCAAATTGCAAAACAGGCGTTTTTTCCTGAAGATACATTTGTCCATGCAAAAGGGTTGCGCATTGCCGTGGGCATCTGCCGGACCACACTCGTGAAGCCGTGGACTCTGAAAAACTGCGAGCTGTCAGCCGGGAAGTCAGGTGCCAGGAATTCATTTTTTTCCGTATCAGATTGAGGGGGGGGAAGATATGGCATGTTACCAACGCAAGCATCCAGGAAATAATTTTTTTACTTGGATATCAGAGGGGCAAATTTATTGGATGTTGGACGTTGGGCACCAGGAAATTAGCAAAGAAAATTCAAAAAGGTGGTTGGAAGTGAGATTTCGGCTTCAGAGGTTAGGAGCCAGGAATTTAAAGCTCTAAAACCTCTCTCAAAGGTTAGGGGTCATCATTTTAGACCGATTTTTTTCTAGGTTCTGGACCTCCAAAGCCTAGTGTCATCCATCTCCCCGTCTTGAAAGATCTTGACAGCATGCGAGCAAAAAAATGATGGAGCCGGTGGAAACCCTGTGACCCAGGATTTGAATGATATGACAAGAACAGTGTTTATGCCAAACCCTCAGCAGTTTTTGAAAGGTCGTGATCTTCCAATTCAATCGACTTGACGATCTGAATGGGGTAGGTAGACATGTATCATCATAAAGGTTATGACCCAGGAAAAGAGTTGTGCCACCGCAATGGTGGACCAGGAGAAATGTTAGTCCACATAAAGGTTGTGGAACAGGATTTTAATTTGTTTGCCCGGGAAATTGCAACTTGGTTGTTGGCTTTTCGGAGCTAAATCCGTTGGGTTGTACCCTTTGGAAATCAATTCCAAAAGGTTGTGGACCAAACGGTTTAAGGCATTTTTTTTCAGGACTGGACCCTTTTGACCGGTACCACGGGGGATCTTCATAGGGCGTGTTGGGAGCTCATGGTACATGCATATCATGCATAGCGATTGCACAGGTGTTACATGCATGGGTGAGTGTGGCTGTATGAAGCCTTTGAGAAATCATGCATGGGCATGTGTGCGACACAGGTGGCAAGAATGAGCAGAAGGACGCATGCCTTTTTGATCAGCATCCGCACGACAAGACGTGCGCTGATGCACTATCGCCGCGTCTGGCGTATGAACTTGTGACCGGTCATGGACCATCGGGAAAAAAAGTCCGATCAATGATCATGCGTTCCAATGGAAAGCCACTATCCATTTTGTGCTTTGATTGTGTGTTTTCATCTTGAAGTTGGGCAACAACATGTGCCATGTCCTGGGCCCCCAAGTGGGCGCAAAAACTCGAACACTTTTTTTTTAAACCCCGGGATTCGAGCATAAAAATATAAAACGAGCAGGAAAAAAGTGGTACACCTTTTTGTGTACCAAGTGGGGGTGCAGGAATATTATGTTTTGCGTTTGGACGTTTTTTTTTTTCAAAACTGTATTTTTTGATCGGCACATCTTTACTACTGCTTCTAGGGTGGAAGGACATGTTCCTTCATGTTTCAGAAATCAACCACATACTGAGCAACTTGGTGTCATGACAACAAGCAGATATCATTCGTTGTACCTTCCTGATCATAGATGCACGGTTCTCAAAATGCTGGTTCCCACATACCTGAAAGGAACTTGCTGCTAACGGGGTCCCTTCTCAGGAGCCGTACGCTTCCCGCATGCTTCCCGCATGCACGTTGTACGGCCCAAAGGCCAAGAACCCATTGCATGGTGAACAGGCAAAGTAATCCCCTCCCAACAAATTTTTATCTGAACCCAGCATCAGTTGCTTAGGTTTGCTAAACCTGCTGGTTTTCAGGGCATTGTGGCACTGAGGTGTGGTCAGAACACCAAGCGTCTTGGTGTATCAATGGACGTCATCGCTCGGGGCATCGCAGGCTGGTGGATTGACCATGGGATGGACCACAGTATACTGACCATAAGGCTGTTCAAACATGTTCAAACCATTGACATCCATGTCAGCGGCCGGGACATCCAGGGAATGAGACTTTGTACCCTAGGTTCCGTCCAATAACTTCTAATATCTTTTAATTCAGTGGGGTTCAATGTCGGAATGAGTGTTTTGATTGGAAATTCAACCAGCAAAAACCGTGCCTTCATTTATTCACGGTGGTGGAAGTCTAGGAATCAAACATGTTCAAGTGCAACCCTGACAGGTGCAGTTGTGGACTGTCCGTATGGTAACCTTTCACGTATCACTAAGCCAGTGAAGTCTGCAAGACGCTTCTTTACCCCGTGAAGACCAAAGCAAGGGAAACGTGCCAAGTGCCGAGCCTTGCCAATTCGGAATTCGACCCTGGACCGCATGGATTTTCCAAAGAGTAGAAAAAACATCATACAAAATGCCCAGTATCATGCGAAATGGTCGAACAAGTTTGATAGCAGATCTTTGGAAAAGTGAAGTCCGCCAATTAGTTAGTCAAATTAGTTTGCGTTGCGGAAGACGCAATAGCATGCCGCAACGCACACCCATGCGATGCAAATGATAGATTGAACATGTCGGAGCAGCTGAAAAACGGCTGCTTTGAATCAGGCTTAATCTCAAAAACATTCCATTGGAGTAACGGTGGCATAGCAGGTTGACAGGTTGATGATCACGACTGCACCTAAGCGTGATAATTTAAAGGTTTGACATGCAGCTAGACGCCCAAATCGCGTGCAATATGTTTGTTTCTGAAACTTGAAGCCTTTTTGTGTACAGCCTTTGATTTCCTGAGGACATACGGTTTGCGTGTGTTGCCTCGGTTTGCGTGCTGCCTTGCACAGCATGACAAGAAGATCTAGAAGGCCTTGCGTGACGCATGACAGGGTTCATTGTGGACCTAAGAGAAAATCCAGCAGGAGCTGTTTGCAGTTGAGTGCCGAGCGCAGTACCAGAGGCAAACAGCATCAGACAGTCTGAAAACAGTGCTTGCGTTGGGTCAAAGTGTTGCACTTCATGATTTGAAGATTGCCGACTGAAAGCCTGTTTGCTTCTGGAGATGCAGGGTCAAAAAAGTTTTTTCACAACTAGCCTATCAAACAAAATTTTACATCTTGAAGTGGCAACGTGATGTTGCCGCCGCGCTCCACACATAGCTGATTGCTGAGCGTAGTCCCAGAAACAAATAGCGGCAAAGTTTTCGACAAACGATTGCATTGCAGTGAGTCAAACTGTTGCATTGCCCATCCGAGTGTCCCTGTCGGACGAAACGTTTGACCGTGTTTGTTTCTGGACATGAAGGGTCTTTCAGACCTTCAGGCTCATTGCAATAACAGTGTGCCAATGTGTGCCAATTTTCTGCTTTCAAGTAGCTGCGCCTATAGACAAGGCTTAGGGTTACACCCTATACACCCACATGTCCCTGCCATGCAAGCCCACTTCAATCCGAATGCTGCGGCTGACAGCTGTGTAGTTCTGGCAGAGTCTTGAGCCAACGGTGTAGTTGAGATGTGGTTTGTGGTATGTGCTACGGCGCCTTTGTTGGTTGAACATCCAAGACCCCAAACACAACCACAGATGGGTTGAGGCTTTCTATGTCATTGTTCTTGAATCAGACTCTGGCCTAGAAGCTTTGGATTCTGACAATTTTGGCAGCCTTTTCGCAAAAGTGAGCCCTTGGAGGTTGTTTGCATCAAGAATTTGTACGCGCCTTGAAGTGGCAACGTGATGTTGCCGCACTCAACACATAGCTGATTGCTGAGCGTAGTCCCAGAAACAAATAGCGGCAAAGTTTTCAACAAACGATTGCATTGCAGTGAGTCAAACTGTTGCATTGCCCATCCGAGTGTCCCTGTCGGACGAAACGTTTGACCGTGTTTGTTTCTGGACATGAAGGGTCTTTCAGACCTTCAGGCTCATTGCAATAACAGTGTGCCAATGTGTGCCAATTTTCTGCTTTCAAGTAGCTGCGCCTATAGACAAGGCTTAGGGTTACACCCTATACACCCACATGTCCCTGCCATGCAAGCCCACTTCAATCCGAATGTTGCGGCTGATGGCTGTGCAGTTCTGGCAGAGTCTTGAGCCAACGGTGTAGTTGAGATGTGGTTTGTGGTATGTGCTACGGCGCCTTTGTTGGTTGAACATCCAAGACCCCAAACACAACCACAGATGGGTTGAGGCTTTCTATGTCATTGTTCTTGAATCAGACTCTGGCCTAGAAGCTTCGGATTCTGACAATTTTGGCAGCCTTTTCGCAAAAGTGAGCCCTGGAGGTTGTTTGCGTCAAGAATTTGCACGCGCCTTGAAGTGGCAACGTGATGTTGCCGCACTCAACACATAGCTGATTGCTGAGCGTAGTCCCAGAAACAAATAGCGCCAAAGTTGTCGACAAACGATTGTATCGCAGTGAGTCAAACTGTTGCATTGCCCATCCGAGTGTCCCTGCGGAACGAATGACTGTGTTTGTTTCTGGACATGAAGGGTCTTTCGGTCTTTCAGATTTTCAGGCTCATTGCAATAGCAAGACATCTAACCATTTGTGTTTTTTTCTCGTTTGTGCATGTCTGGCCTATGTGGAGGATGCTTTGGGTTGCCGCCACATGTCGCTGCAATGCAAACCCTCTTCAACCCGAATGCTGCATTTGATAGCTATGCAGTTCGGCAGAGTCGTTTGAGATGTGGGTTGTGATATGTCTGGTATGGGCTATGGCGCCTTTGTTGGTTGAACATCCAAGACCCCAAACACAACCACAGATGGGTTGAGGCTTTCTATGTCATTGTTCTTGAATCAGACTCTGGCCTAGAAGCTTCGGATTCTGACAATTTTGGCAGCCTTTTCGCAAAAGTGAGCCCTGGAGGTTGTTTGCGTCAAGCATTTGTACGTGCCTTGAAGTGGCAACGTGATGTTGCCGCACTCAACACATAGCTGACTGCCAAGCGCAGTCCCAGGAACAAATTGTGCCAAAAAAAGGGGCCAACGGTGGAAGGATGCGATGCACAAATTGAGGGCTTTAGAAGTTTCAGTAGTCAATCCAGAAGTTTTAGTGTTCCTGAAGTATCGGATGAGTTGGTTTCAATTTGAAAGCATCGAAAAGCCGAACCTTTATGGAAAGAAGCTTTGTATATATCCAAATGATGCCGTTGGCGGGTATTCGAAAATGTAAGTGGTTCCCTGAAAGGAGATGGCGCAGATGCGGATAGTGATAATGCATGGCAAAAGGAAGTTTAGAAGTCTGAACTCCGACATTTTTGAAAATGCGGACAGCAATACATCATCACAACAATACATAATCACAATAATAATACATAATCACAACGATACCTCATCACAACCATACATCACCGCAACAAAACATCATCACAACAATGCATGGCCACAGAAATAGACAATCACAACAATTATCCTGCCTTCCCTAAAGCAGCACAAAAAAGGACACCAGCACAGCAAGACAGCAGCACAACAAGACAGCCACACAACCCAACAACAACAACAAAAGACAGCACCACAAAAGGCACAGCAGCCACAACAAGACGGGCAGCAAAACAAAGAAGCACCGCAACCATACATCATCACAACAATACACAATCACAACAATACATCGCCACAACAATACATCATCACAACAATACATCATCACCAAAATACATTATCACAACAATACATCATCACAACAATACATCATCACAATAATCGATCACAACAATAATACATCATCACGACATATCACAACAATACATCATCACAACAATACATCACAACAACAATACCTCATCACAACAATGCATCATCGCAACAATACAATTTGTTGTTTTGTTTTTTTTCATCACAACAATACCTCACCACAACAATACACAATCACAACAATACATCATCACAACAATACATTACCACAATAATACACAATCACACACAATCACAACAATACACAATCACAACAATACATAATCACAACAATACACAATAGCAACAATACATCACCACAACAATACACAATCACAACAATACATCATCACAACAATACATTACCACAATAATACACAATCACAACAATACATCATCACAACAATACATCATCACAACAATACATCATCACAACAATACATCACCACAACAATACACAATCACAACAATACATTATGACAACCATACATCACCACAACAATACACAATCACAACAATACATCATCACAACAATACACAATCACAACAATACATCACCACAACAATACACAATCACAACAATACACAATCACAACAATACACAATCACAACAAATAAACACAATAACAAAACAATACACAATTCAACAACCCCCACCCAAAAAAAAAAAAAAAAAAAAAAATAAATCACCACAACAATACATCACCACAACAATACACAATCACAACAATACACAATCACAACAATACACAATCACAACAATACATCACCACAACAATACACAATCACAACGATACACAATCACAATAATACACAATCACAACAATACACAATCACAACAATACATCATCACAACAATACCTCACCACAACAATACACAATCACAACAATACATCATCACAACAATACATTACCACAATAATACACAATCACACACAATCACAACAATACACAATCACAACAATACATAATCACAACAATACACAATAGCAACAATACATCACCACAACAATACACAATCACAACAATACATCATCACAACAATACATTACCACAATAATACACAATCACAACAATACATCATCACAACAATACATCATCACAACAATACATCATCACAACAATACATCACCACAACAATACACAATCACAACAATACATTATGACAACCATACATCACCACAACAATACACAATCACAACAATACATCATCACAACAATACACAATCACAACAATACATCACCACAACAATACACAATCACAACAATACACAATCACAACAATACACAATCACAACACCACATCATCACAACAATACACAATCACAACAACACATCACCACAACAATACACAATCACAACAATACATCATCACAACAATACATTACCACAATAATACACAATCACACACAATCACAACAATACACAATCACAACAATACACAATCACAACAATACATCATCACAACAATACATCATCACAACAATACATTACCACAATAATACACAATCACGCACAATCACAACAATACACAATCACAACAATACACAATCACAACAATACATCATCACAACAATACATCATCACAACAATACATTACCACAATAATACACAATCACACACAATCACAACAATACACAATCACAACAATACACAATCACAACAACACATCATCACAACAATACCAAAGACTCCCAGGACCTGTGGCAGACAGAAGCCACAAAATCCACCACTTGGAAAAATGATCTCAAGGGTGGAGGGTGGGTCAAGCAATGCAGTGGAACTGTCCTTTTTTTAAATACCATACCTATGAAACAAATATGGCATATGATTATTTATTACGTATGTTGTATTTTACTTATCAGTGTTATTGTTAGATAGTTAGGTAACTTAAATATTGATAATCCCTCGTGTAGAAATATTTTTGCACACCGCCACAGAAAACACAATGGATGGGCCCACGCTATGTCCGCTATGGCTGGCTGCCCAGCGTCAGGTCCTCCATTTGGGCAGCCGGAGGCAGCTCGGTGGGTGATGTTCTCTTCAGCCGGGGCCCCCGGGGGGAAGCTTTGGGACTCCTTTCCTGAATGATGAGTTGTTGAATGAGAGATATGGCCAGATTTATAAACTGTAAAAGGTGGATCAGGATCCAGTGTTGGTCACTCTTGCAAAGAATGAATATATACATGCCAGTTTTGCAAAAGCTAGGAGTACTAAGGTGCTCTATATAGGCCCTTTTCACTTTCGATTCGGACCCCTAGTCTGGTTCCCCATCAATCAAACGCGGACAATGCCCGGATCTCATCTCCGTTTTCTCTTGCGTTTGTAACGCTACCGTGTGAGTTCTGACCAAGGCATCATATGGATCCAGGATCCATATGGCTGGATCCATATGGTATAGCAACACCTGTTGCTGGCGAAAGGTAAGTGGAAGGTGCCCCATCCCTCGTCGCAGCGGGTCCTTGGGACACGTTGCAACTCTGTATGATTTCCCATCCATTGGCAATTCATGCTTCACGAAGTTCATGATTTTGTTCATCTGGCATGACGCCAGCTGGCTACATCAGATGCCTTTTCCCCATGCAGATGACGATGGCAGATGCCGCATTTTCATGCTGGACATGTTGCACTTGATCATAGTGTGTGTCACAGCCCTTTTTGGCTCAGGCTCAAGGCAAAACAGTGCTTGTTTTTTCTGAAACTGCTGTCATCATGGTGGCTAGGCAGCGGTTTCAGATGTTTGAAAGTGCGCAATTCCATTCAAAAGATGATCTGCCGAATTCCATGTGCAATCTACTGAAGCAAATGAAGCAAATTGAATCACTCTGTTGGATTGGGCATAACAGAGTGTTGAATCACTTTTTGCCAAAGCAATCGTTGAATCAATTGTTCAATCAATTGTTGAAACAGGATGATGGTTCAACAACTGAATCAGTCATGGGAGTTGCTGAATCCACGGGTGAGTCTAGTCTAGTTAAATCAAGGTTGAACAAATTGTTGGATCAATAGTTGTATCAATTCCTGAATCTAGTTTAAACTTGCCGTGACATCAGACGGATTACATAGATCATTGGATAAATTTTTGAGAGAATCGTTGTACAAGCTTGTGAAGCAAGGTGTTGAACCTATTCGGATCAAGGTTGAGTCAAGTTGAGCCCGTTGCATCTTCAATTCACCCAGTCACCCTTTAAAACACCAAGGCGGGATTCGAGGTGGTGCCACTGGTCCCAGTTGATGAGGAAACCGGTTTCCATGAAGGCACGTGGACCGACAGTGGAAAGTGCTGCAAAAAGGCAGTGCTGGGAGCATTGGCTGTGGCAGCTCTGGGGCTTTTCGGGCTTTGTGTCGGGCATGTTGCGTACGCCAAGCCGATTGCCCTGAATGAGTTGGCTCAGCCGAGTGTCACGAGTGACTTGGGAGCTGCGGGCATCAAGCAGGACGTTGGAACTTTCGGCGATGACATCCTGGAAGACGACTGGCCGGTTCTGAAGAAGGACTGAATGTATTGAACGCTGAACAGAAGGGGTTGCCCCAGAAAAAAAATCATGTACTTTTCCAACGTTGAACCATTTGTCATCATACCGTTACAGGGAAAGTTAGAATGCGGTTTTGGCTTCTCGTGATGGTGGCCCGTTTGAACCCCTCCACACGGCAGTCGCGTTCTAACTGAAGATCACCTGTAAATATGCAGCCATACAGTTAGTTAGAATGCGGCAGAAGAAGGTGTGAGAAAATGTATGTTTAACTGGTATTTTTTTAAGTGAAATGGAGTTAGAATGCCTCGGTTGAAAAACACACCAATAGCCCATGTCGCACAGTTTTTGCTGGTATATGCGCGGAAAGGCTCAGCTAGAAAGTCTGCCGTTCATGCTTGGCGAAGGAAGTTTAGGAGTCGAACTTCCGACAATATGGAGAGATGGAAAAGCGTAGGTGGGAAGAGTCAGAGAAGAGAAGAGAAGAAGAAAGAAGATCAGAGAAGAGAAAGAGTCAGAGGAAAGAAGATGTAGGTGCGCGAAAAGGTAGAAAAGTCGCGAAACACTGTGTTTTTCCAATGATTTGTGGCTCTGGAGGGTCGAAAAGTAGGCTCGCTAAAGCGTCGGGTGCGGAGCCGTCTGGGGAGATGAGAGATGACAATTTGCACGCCGTTGTGGCGCGAAGCACATTTCGAAGTCAACAGTGAAAAATTTGACTCAGACCGCTTTTGGAAGTTGAGATGATGAAAAAGTGCACGCCGTTGTGCCGCGAAGCACATTTCGAAGTCAAAATGTAGAAAGCACGTCACGTTCGGAGCACTTTTGGAAGTTGCGATGTCGAAAAAGTGCACGCCGTTGTGGCGCGAAGCACATTTCCACGTCCAAATGTAAAAACACCACATGCTCGGACCACTTTTGAAGGTTCAGATGTGGTTTCGCGTGGCAGGCGCGAGGGATTCTGCACCTTGCCAAAAGTGAGCAAAAAAAACGTGAGGGTATTGTAGGATTTTCCAAGACGATGGCAGGCGTGGGACATTTGAAGAGGATGTGGAAAGATGCATGTCACATGGCAGGCGCAGTGCAAGAGACATGTTCATCAGAGATGTTAGGAGGTCAGGGCGCTGATTTCCTGAGAAGGGCTGCATTTTGGAGCATCAGATCTTCACGTTTGCTAAGATGATTTTGCGTGACAGGTGCAGCACTTCGTATGACCTGGCATCACTTTTGCGGGCAGGCGCAGCACTTTAAAGAGATGCAGTGGAAAAATCGCGAAACATATTTGGTACGAGGCCGTCAGCTCTGCACTCAACTTTCCATTGTTGAAGGAAGTCTTGCAGAATTGCTTAGTTTTTGATGTTGTCAACTTCGAAAATTGAAGGAAGTCTCGCAGAATTGCTTCGTTTTTGACGACGTCAAGTTAAAACACGGAGGAAATTTCGGGGAATTGCTGCGTTTTCGATGTTGTGAAGTTCAAAAATTGAGGAAGTCTCGCAGAATAGCTTCGTTTTCAAGCTTGCAGATAGACAGGTAGATAGATAGATAGATAGATAGATTAGATTAGACTAGATTAGATTAGATTAGATTAGATAGATAGATAGATAGATTAGATTAGATTAGATAGATTAGATAGATTAGATAGATTAGATAGATTAGATAGATTAGATAGATTAGATAGATAGATAGATTAGATAGATTAGATAGATTAGATAGATTAGATAAATAGATAGATAGATAGATAGATAGACAGATAGATAGAAAGATAGATAGATAGATTAGATAGATAGATTAGATAGATTAGATAGATAGATGAGATAGATGAGATAGATAGATAGATAGATAGATAGATAGATAGATAGATAGATAGATAGATCGATAGATAGATAGATAGATCGATAGATAGATAGATAGATAGAGAGAGAGAGATAGATAGATAGACAGAGTGAGATAGATAGATAGATAGATAGATTAGATTAAATTAGATTAGATGAGATGAGATTAGATAGATAGATAGATAGAGAGAGAGATAGATAGACAGAGGGAGGTAGATAGATAGATAGATAGGTCAGATTAGATTAGATTAGATAAGATAAGATAGATAGATAGATAGATTAGATTAGATTAGATTAGATTAGAATAGGTTAGATTAGATTAGATAGATAGATAGGTAGATAGATAGATTAGATAGATTAGATAGATTAGATAGATTAGATAGATTAGACAGATTAGATAGATTAGATAGATTAGATAGATTAGATAGATTAGATAGATTAGATAGATTAGATAGATTAGATAGATTAGATAGATTAGATAGATTAGATAGATGAGATAGATGAGATAGATTAGATAGATTAGATAGATTAGATAGATTAGATAGATTAGATAGATTAGATAGATTAGATATATTAGATAGATTAGATAGATTAGATAGATTAGATAGATTAGATAGATTAGATAGATTAGATAGATTAGATAGATTAGATAGATTAGATAGATTAGATAGATTAGATAGATTGATAGATTAGATAGATTAGATAGATTAGATAGATTAGATAGATTAGATAGATTAGATAGATTAGATAGATTAGATAGATTAGATAGATTAGATAGATGAGATAGATGAGATAGATTAGATAGATTAGATAGATTAGATAGATTAGATAGATTAGATAGATAGATAGATAGATGGATAGATAGATAGACAGAGTGAGATAGATAGATAGATAGATAGATAGATAGATAGATAGATAGATAGATAGATAGATAGATAGATAGATAGATAGATAGATAGATAGACAGCTGCAACTACACTACACTACTGTTACACTACACTACAACTACAGCTACAACTACAACTACAACTTGAACTACACTCCTTCAACTACTACAACTACAACTGCCACAACTACAACTACACTTCAACTACAACTTAAACTACAACTACAACTACCATTACACAACACCACAGCTACAACTACTACAACGACAACGGCAAGTACAACTACAACTACAGCTACAACGACAACGGCAAGTACAACTACAACTGCAGCTACAACAACTATTGCAGCTACTGCTACTACAACTGCAACTGCAACTACAACTGCAACTACAACTACCACCACCAGTAAACCACACTACAACTACCACTACCAGTAAACTACACTACAACTACAACTACAACAACTACAACTACACTACGACAACAGTTACCGCGACACCACAACTACAACTACAACTGCGACTACGACTACAATAGAACTACAGCTACAACTGCAACTACACCTACTACAATTAGTACAGCTACAATTTCAACTGCACTTCAACTAACTACACTACAACTACAATTACATTGCACTTCGCTACACCGCGCTACATCCTGCAGTTGTGGGTGAGGTGACTGCTGCAACCAGTCCAAAAATCACAGCCGCCTTTCGGTCCATCAGTGGATTCGCTCTGCTACTGTATCCATGTATCACAACAATTCACCTTTCCTATAGTTTCCTATCTTTGAAACTTCTGCCGCCGCCTTGTGCGGTACTACTCGTACTCTAGTGACAAGTGGGAACACAAGTGATACACAAATCTCAGTCGAACATTCAGACAGCCTGCCAATGCCATTGGGGGAGGCTGTTTATTCATTCTGCACTCCACAAGTTTTGTTCGTTTCCTCTTCTCTATTTTTTCCCATTGATCTATATCTGCTGTAGTTTCCGTGGGCATTCTATCTGTTGTTTTTCCCGGCGATAGCCACGGGAGCATGGCCTTTTCTTCTACGTCTTTACTGCCCATTGATCTACATCCACCATAGCCAGGTGTTTGTGATCTGCAGGGGAATAAGGAGTGCCCTTTTCTCTTATCCTCTTTCCTTTTCTCGTCCCTTCCTTCAGAATGCTGTTTTTGGCTTCGCGTGATGGTGGCCTGTTTGGCCCCCGCCTCACGGCAGTGGCATTGTAACTGAAGGATCACCTGTAAATATGCAGCCACACAGTTCGAATGCGGAAGAAAAATTGGTGAGAACATATATGACCATTTGTCAAAAATAGTTGTTTAGAAGTTTAGTATTGGTTGTTGATAATTCATCTGGGTCTACTGTTTTTTCCTCTTCGTTATGAGGCGGCACGCAACTAAATTCAGCAATTCTGCAAGGCAGCGCTAGCAACCCCGCTAGGTTTGCGCTAGGTTTGATTGACAGCCATGGCCTCCATGTCGTGAATGTCTTGCCAGCTTTTCTTACAAGTCTGTCAGTTTCCACATATTCCCAAATTTTCGATTTTTTTTACGTATTTTACGCGCTAGATCGCCGCTAGCAACGCGCTAGCGAAAATTGCAAATACATGCCCCGGTCCACCCGCAGCCAATTCAGAGGCACAGCCATGTTCACGCTTTGGTAGCTTACAGTAAGGAAACAGCGTTGATCAGGAGGCATGTCAAGAAGCATATTGCATTCAGAGAGGCGCACACGCACAGAGACACACAGTTCAGGAGACAGTACCAGCGACAGCGAATGAAAACCGACGTGCGTTAGCCGATTCCTGTGGTTTTAGAAAGATTTCCAAAGGTAACGAAGAATTTCCACGTTTTCACGTCATCAAGGTAGGTCATGTTTTTTAAAGGCAAACATGAGGCGGCACGCATGGAATTGCGATTTATCAACAAAACCGGGAACAGACATTTTGATAAACCGTCATATGTTTTGACTGGTATTTTACAGGCGAGATGGGTTAGAATGCCTTGGTTGAAAAACACACCAATGGCCCATGCCGCACAGTTTTTGCTGGTATATGCACTGGTATATATGCGCGGGAAGCCTCAATTAGAATGCCTGCCGTTCATGGTTTGTACTCTTTTGACAAGTGGGAGCACAAATTATATACAAACGCACTAACATTCTCAGTCGAACATTCAGACAGCCTGCCAATGCCATTGGGGGAGGCTGTTGATTCATTCTACACTCCACAAGTTTTGTTCGTTTCCTCTTCTCTATTTTTTCCCATTGATCTATATCTGCTGTAGTTTCCGTGGGCATTCTATCTGTTGTTTTTCCCCGCGATAGCAAAAGTGCTTGTGGCCTGGAGGGAGCATGGACTGCCCTTTCATCTTATCCGTTCTTATCGGCTTTCCTTTCCTTGTCCTTTTTCTTTTATAATTTCCACTGCCCATTGATCTATATCTGCTGTAGTTTCCGTGGGCATTCTATCTGTTGCTTTTTGCCACTAAAGACAGTCACCTGCAGGAGAACATGTAGTGCCCTTTTCTCTTATCCGATCTTACCCGCTTCCCTCTCCTTGCCCTTTTTCTTCTCTAATGTTCTCCTTTTCTTTTATGTCGTTTTTCGCCCATTGATCTATATCTGCTGTTGTTTCCGTTGGCATTCTGTCTGTTTGTTTCCCCCACTACAGCCACGTGTTTGTAACCTGCAGGGGAACCTGGAGTGCCCTTGCCTAGTCCTTGTGTTTCCATAATGTTCCTTTCCCTTCCTTGTCCTGTATTCAATGATCTAAACCTGCTGTGGTTTCCGTGGGCATTCTATCTGCTGTTTTCCCCCGCTATAGCCACGTGTTTGTGACCTGCAGGGGAATAAGGAGTGCCCTTTTCTCTTATCCTCTTTCCTTTTCTCGTCCCTTCCTTCAGAATGCTGTTTTGGCTTCGCGTGATGGTGGCCTGTTTGGCCCCCGCCTCACGGCAGTTGCATTGTAACTGAAGGATCACCTGTAAATATGCAGCCACGCAGTTCGAATGCGGAAGAAAAAATGGTGAGAACATATATGTTTTGACTGGTATTTTACAGGCGAGATGGGTTAGAATGCCTTGGTTGAAAAACACACCAATCGCCCATGCCGCGCAGTTTTTGCTGGTATATGCACTGGTATATATGCGCGGGAAGCCTCAATTAGAATGCCTGCCGTTCATGGCTTGTACTCTTTTGACAAGTGGGAGCACAAGTTATATACAAACGCACTAACATTCTCAGTTGAACATTCAGACAGCCTGGCCTGGCAATGCCATTGGAGGAGGCTGTTGATTCATTCTACACTCCACAGGTTTTGTTCGTTTCCTGTTCTCCCTTTTTTCCTAATGATCTATATTTGCTGTAGTTTCTATAGGCATTCTATCCGCTGTTTTTCCCAACTATAGCCGCGTGCTTGTGGCCCGGAGGGAGCATGGACCGCCCTTTCCTTTTTCTTTTATAATGTTCCTTTCCCTTCCTTCTCTTCAATGTTTTTAACGCCCATTGATCTATACGTGCGGTAATTTCCGTGGGCATTCTTTCTGTTGTTTTTCCCACTATAGCCACATGTTTGTGATCTGCAGGAGAACATGGAGTGCATTTTTTTCTTATCCTGACTTTTCTTTTCCGGTCCTTGTTCTCTATCTTGTTCCTGTTACTTCCTTTTCTTCTTTTTCTCCAATGCCAATTTATCTATATCTGCAGTAGTTTCCGTGGGCATTCTAGCTGTTGTTTCTCCCCACTATAGCCACGTGTTTGTGACCAGCAGGGAACATGAACTGCCCTTTTCTCTTAGCGGATCTTATCCGCTTCCCTTTCCTTCTCCTTTTTCCAGAACAGTCTGATAATTAGTAGATGATATTCATAGCTTGTAGACATTCTGAGTACGGAATTTGTGCAAAGGGTTCTCTGAAAACAACAAGAATTTAAAAACAGGTGGTGAGGCATTCTAAGTGAATTGATTTTTGCCGTGCGTTTGCCGCATTCAAACTGAGCTGGTAAAATATTTGGAATTCGCGGCGGCATTCTAACTTTCACCTTAAGATTATAATTTGTCTGACCATTCATGAAGAGGATGAGGTTATGTTATGGCATGCTATCACTTATTTCCAAACCAGGCTCCAAGGACCCCAAGGCGACAAAAACTAACACTCCACTTCTGTCCGTTTGTATAGCTGATCTATGTTGATCGCTGAGGAGATCAAGAGTGAGCAATACAATCCCGCGGGCTGCTTTGCCAAGTTGAGCTTTGCCTCTGCCTGGAGCGCCTCGCTCGGGTTGAAGTTGATGGCCGCAACCAAGGACAGAGCTCGCTCCCGGCGGTTTCCCGACAGTCGTGCAGCACAACGAAGATGGCAACACAACAAGACTGTTGACACTTAACGCTTTTCAAATTTGTCTCCAAGGTCCAAGATGTTAGAAGTGTGAACATGATTCAGCATTATTTCACCCCCCATAAGAAAACAATGTAACCATTCCTTGGCTGGGTGTTGTTTATTGCCTTGGGCGAATTTGTTAGTGGCTTCACTGGCAGGTTTTTGTTTGTGAATGGAAGGCTTTCACTGTGAAACTTTCACTATTCTCAACTGACCCATGACTATGATTGGGGTTACACAATGCCGTTGCTCAGGGAAGCTGCTCTTGAGATAGCTTTATTGTAATCTGTAACGGTAGGTAAACAAAGCCGCATATGATTGCTGCATATGTCCATTTTTGCATTTGGAGATGTTCATCCACTTCTTGCCTCCTTGGAATGTTCCTTTACATTCACTGAATTATCTGAATTCATCCGCCCTCCTGTTGTTGGTTGTATCACTCCGCCCCTGGTACTGGCACGGTTCCATCAAGCCAGGAGTGCAACCCACGAAGTTACCGCAATGATCCAACGCCCTTCCGTCGGCTACACGAAGTACACCAAGTGCCAGGCTTGCCGCAGGAGGCGGTGCATTACCCCACATCTCCATGGGCCCAGCCAGCTGGCTCAAACTGCCGTGATGGGTACGAAACAGTTGAGACATGTTGAGACATGTTGAGACATGTTTGGTACATCTATACACTTCTTCCCCAAACAGGTTTTACCTGTGATGCGTTCTTACTTCATCTTACTTCTGGCCCTGGCGGTGTCGGGTTGCTTGGTTCCTCTGTTTTCCTGTTTCATGGCTCCGGTTGTCTCGAGTTGTCTCTGCCTGCTGCGTTGGCTGCCTTTGGTTGCATCTGGCTGTCCGGGGTGGCTATGGTTGCTTGGATTGCTTTTTTTCTCCGGCTGAATACGGCCGTGCTGGGTTTTGTGGCCTGCATGTGTAGGTATGTTGTTTTTGCTTTTGTCTCGGGCTGTGCATGGTTCTTGGGTTCATGTTCTCAAACTTGCTGGGTTCACCTATGAAGCGCATGAAGGGTTCTGGTGCCTAAGGAATGGTGGTATGGACGGGTCTCCGGTTGCGCTTCTTTCTATTCAGCTCTGCTGGTTTGCTGGGCCGCAAGGTTTGCGGCATCTTTTTATGTGTTTGGTTCTCCATGTTCTATTCAACTCTTTCGGGTTGCGGGGGCGGTTTCTTTTTCCTGCTTGGGGGGTCTGCGCTGGAAGCAAAATGGGACATGCCATTGAATAGCGGGGGGCGCCGTTTTGAGACAGAACGAATTTTTGCACACGAGCTGCTGATTCACCAAGAACGGTGTGTGATTCAAAATTCGCAGACATTTTGGTGCCGCGGATTCAGGCCATTTGTCATATGAAAAACCATGAGAGGCTATGATTTTGGTTGGCGCCCGCAATCGAGCCAGCTCGCCAAGTCACGCGGGGATGGCTTCCCTTTGTAAACTAGGTCCTAGGATGTCCTAAGTTCCATCCATGGGGATGGTTGTAGTCCTGCATTCTGATGTGTATTGTTTTGCTTAGTGTTGTTTGCAAAGCTCAGATCGCCCAAGATGGCCGCTGTCGCCAAGGTATAAGGAATCGGTCGGCCCGGTCGTGAAAGATGGTGAGAAAGACACTGACATCGATATCGACGGCCTGGCGGCTGAATCGGCCTACAACTTGACCGAGGGCCTGTTACGACTGAAGACTCGCTTTGCCTTCGGCAATCGTTGGACCATGGAGGGTTGGCACTACATGAAGGACGGCAGCTCCTGGTTTTCAGATAGTTGAACCTTAGGAGCGGGATAGGCAATAACATCATTGGTGCAAATTTGTCCTGCCCCCTTTGTTTGAGAGGCCCTTGGCAGGCGTTTCTTTGATACGTTTCCGCATGCCAAACCAGGCATTTGCCCTAATTTGCCCAGCGTTGTCCTTTCGGCGGCAAATCTGCATGATGGGGTGGAGGCACAAGGCACAAGGATTCCATTGAAAGACGCGGGTGCCAAATTGGTTTCTTCCCTTTCCTCCTGATTTTCCTCTCCCTTTTCCTTGTGCCCTGCCATGCCCTGCCCGTCCCCGAAGCGCCTTGCATCGTTGCAGGAGCACCACACTGGTTGCGTGTGGGACACCCGGCGCAATGAGAGTGCTCCAGGCCTCCGGCTGTGCTTCACAGGAAACGGCCTTCTTGCCATCGATGCTAGGTCCTGCGAGGTGTTGTCGCATGTTGTCGCGTTTGTTTGATGATTTTGCTTGATGGCGCTTTCTTCGGTTTGCTAGATGCAGCTAGATGGTTTCGAACCCATGTGTTTAATGAATGGTTTGTTTCTTAGTGGTTTTCCGCGTCGTGTGTAACATTTTCCTGAATGGTTTTGTTCCCCAAACAGTGTGTCCACACTGAGGGGTTCTTACGGTAGGTAGAAAGGCCGGTGCTTGATCAGGGTGCTCACTCTAGACCGCGGCATTTTTCCTGTAAATTTCTGTCTACACTGGCTCTTGTGAAATCTTGACATGCGTTTCGACAGCGCCGGCTCGCACAAAATGTGTGTCTGCGTTCTGGGATCATTTTGGTCCGCGGCATTCTACCTGTAAATTTCATTAAATTTCCGTATAAAGTGGCCTTTGTGAAATCTTGACATGCGTTTCGACTGTGCAGGCTCGCACAAAGTCTGCGGCGTGGTTTTGACCTGCGGCATTTTACCCGTAAATTTCTGTATCAAGTGGCTCTTGTGAAATCTTGACATGCGTTTCGACTGCGCAGGCTCGCAGAAAGTCTGCAGCGCGGTTTTGATCTGCATCATTTTACCTGTAAATTTCCGTATCAAGTGGCTCTTGTGAAATCTTGACATGCGTTTCGACTGCGCCGGCTCGCACAAAATGTGTGTCCGCGTTCTGGGATCATTTTGGTCCGCGGCATTCTACCTGTAAATTTCATTAAATTTCCGTATAAAGTGGCCTTTGTGAAATCTTGACATGCGTTTCGACTGCGCAGGCTCGCAGAAAGTCTGCAGCGCGGTTTTGATCTGCATCATTTTACCTGTAAATTTCCGTATCAAGTGGCTCTTGTGAAATCTTGACATGCGTTTCGACTGCGCAGGCTTGCGCGAAATGTATGCCTGCGTTCTGGGCTGTCCGCGTTCTGGGCTCATTCTGGGACACGCGTAGGCTCGCACAAAGTGTTTCTTTGCGTTCTACTTCTTGTCTTCTCTTGTCGCGTCTTCTCTTCTCCTGTTGTTTGGAACGTGGTGCTGAACAAGAAAACACATTTGTAGCTTGCAGCATAGGAAGAGACGCCCTTTTCATGATCCAAAATACATACGCCAGAAATTGTTTTTCTCCAAGCGCCACCACCGCCACCACCACCACCACCATCATCATCATCATCATCACCTTCATCTTCATCTTCATCTTCATCTTCATCTTCATCTTCATCTTCATCATCATGATCATCATCATCATCATCACCATCATCTCACCATCATGACCATCATGGCCATCATGACCATCATGACCATTATGACCATCATCATCATCAACATCATTCCCACCACCGTCATCATCATCATCGTCATCATCATCATCATCATTTACCCTCCTCAGCATCATCATTTTCCTCCTTCCCTGCATCAGCACCCTCCACCTTTTCATCATCCACTGCATCTTCCGCATTATCATCCTCATCCTCATCCCCATCCTCATCACCATCATCATCATCATCATCACCATCACCATCATCATCGTCACCATCATCATCCTTACCATAATCACCACCTTCATCATCATCATCATCATCATCATCATCGTCGCCATCATCATCATCATCATCACCTTCATCTTCATCTTCTTCATCATTAGCATCATCATGATCATCATCACTGTTATCATCATCCTAATTCTCGTTCTCATCATCATCATCATCATCACCATCATCATCATCACCACAATCATCCTCCTCCTCCTCTTCACCATCATCATAATCATTTTTCTCCTCAACATCATCATCTTCCTCCTTCCCTACATCAGCATCCTCCACCTTATCCTCCTCCACTCCATCTTCCGCATTTCATCCTCATCATCATCATCATCATCATCATTATCATTGTCATCATCATCGTCATCATCATCGTCATCTGCATCATCATCGTCACAATCGCCATCACCCTTACCACCATCATCATCATCACCATCATCATCATCACCATCATCATCTTTGTCGTCGTCATCATCATCATCATCATCACCATCATCATCGACATTATCATATGTTATCCCCCCACTCTCCCACACTGTTTGGGGTCTCTTGTTGCGTATTGTAAGGATTGGAGATAGAGAGAGAGATAAGCATATAATATAGTATGTTTTCATTTAGATGATGTGCAACCAGTGTACGCGCAGATAGACAGGTAGAGGGATAGACAGACAGACAGGTAGACAGATAGACAGGTAGACAGACAGACAGACAGACGGATAGATAGATAGATAGACAGACAGACAGATAGATAGATAGATCGATAGATAGATAGATAGACAGAGATAGAGATAGATAGAGATAGAGATAGAGATAGAGATAGATAGAGATAGGTAGAGGTAGATAGAGATAGAGGTAGATAGAGATAGATAAAGATAGGCAGAGAGACATAGAGTCAGATAGAGATAGATAGAGAGAGATACAGATAGATAGAGAGGAGCAGATTAGAGATAGATAGAGTCAGATAGAGATAGATAGAGATAGGTAGGGATATATATAGATACATAGAGATAGATAGAGATAGATAGAGATAGATAGAGATAGATAGAGATAGGTAGAGATAGGTAGAGATAGGTAGAGGTAGGTAGAGATAGATAGATAGATAGATAGATAGATAGATAGATAGATAGATAGATAGATAGAGATACATAGAGATAGATAGAGATAGGTAGAGAGAGATAGAGACAGGTAGAGATAGAAAGCGGTAGATAGATGGATGGGTGGATGGATAGATAGATGTTTTAGTATATTACAGTTCATTTCATCTATGTGTATTGAAATATTTAGCATGCATGCACGCACGCATACACATACGCATGCATATGGATATGCATATGCACATACACATAGATACACATGGACATCTGCATATACATATACATATGCATTTGCATATCCACACACATATGCATACGCACACAGATATACGCATGCACACTATACTCTTTACGCACACACACACTTACATTTTCATCAAAGGAAGTTTAGAAGTCAAACTTCCGACAATATGGACAGATGAAAAGCAGAGATGGGAAGAGGCAGAGAGAAGAGAAGAGTAGAAGAGAGAAGAGCAGAAGAGAGAATATCAGAGAAGAGAAAGAGTCAGAAGAAAGAAGATGCAGGTGCGCGAAAAGGTAGGAAAGTCGCGAAACACTGTGTTTTTTCCAATGATTTGTGGCTCTGGAGGGTCGAAAAGTAGGCTCGCTAAAGCGGCGGGTGCGGAGCCAGCTGGCCAGATGAGAGTTGAAAAATTGCACGCCGTTGTGGTGCGAAGCACGTTTCCAAGTCAAAATGTGCAAAGCACACCAGCTCCGGAGCACTTTTGGAAGTTGAGATGTCGAAAAAGTGCACACTGTTGTGGCGCGAAGCACATTTCGAAGTCAAAATGTACAAAGCACACCATGTTCGGACCACTTTTGGAAGTTGAGATGACCACTTTTGGAGGTTCAGATGTCGTTTCGCGTGGCAGGCGCGGGGGATTGTGCACCTTGTCAAAAGTGAGCAAAATGTGAGGGTTTTGTAGCATTTTCAACTACAACCACCACCACACCACAACACACTCCAACACACTACACTATAACTACAACTACACCTTCACTACATTCCACTACACTACACTACACTCCACTACGCTCCACTACACTACACTACACTCAATTACGCTCAATTACGCTCAATTACACTCAATTACACTCAACTACACTCAATTACACTCAATTACGCTCAATTACATTCAATTACACTCAATTACACTCAATTACATTCAATTACACTCAATTACACTCAATTACACTCAATTACACTCAATTACATTCAATTACATTCAATTACACTCAATTACACTCAATTACATTCAATTACGCTCAATTACATTCAATTACACTCAATTACATTCAATTACACTCAATTACACTCAATTTACACCCAATTACACTCAATTACACTCAATTAAACTCAATTACACTCAATTACACTCAATTACATTCAAGTACATTCAATTACACTCACTTACATTCAATTACACTCAATTACGCTCAATTACATTCAATTACACTCAATTACATTCAATTACATTCAATTACATTTAATTACACTCACTTACACTCAATCACTCAATGACACTCAGTTACACTCAATTACATTCAATTACATTCAATTACACTCCACTCCACTACACTACACTACCGTACCCCTACACTACACTACACTACGCTACACTACACTACACCGAGTACAACTACAACTACAACTGCAACTGCAACTCCAACTGTAGCTACAACTACAACTACAATACGTTACATAACGCGACACTACAACTACAACTACAACTACAACTACGCTACACTATTTGCATTACACTAGACTACACTACACTACACTAATTGCATTACACTACGCTACACTACACTACACTACACCACACCACACTACACCACACTCAATTACACTACACTACACTACCCTACCCCTACACTACACTACACTACGCTACACTACACTACACTACACTGAGTACAACTACAACTACAACTGCAACTGCAACTCCAACTGTGGCTACAACTACACTACGTTAAATAACGCGACGCTACAACTACAACTACACTAACAACTACAACTACAACTACAACTATGCTACACTATTTGCATTACACTAGACTACACTACACTACACTACACAAATTGCATCACACTACACTACACTACACTACACTACACTACACTACACTACACTACACTGCGCCGCACCACACCGCACCACACCACACCACACCACACCACACCACACTACACTCAATTACACTACACTACACTACCCTACCCCACATTGCTTTTACATTACATTACATTACATTACATCACATTACATCACAATACACTCATTACACCATCGCAAATGCAACTGCAACTGCGCTACACTAATTACACTACACCATAATTACAACCCCACTACACTACAACTACAACTACAGCTGCACTACACCACACTACATCCAGCAGTTGTGGGTGAGGTGACCGACCAGGTGACCACTGCAACCATTGCAGCCACTCCAAAAAACACAGCTCCAACCACCTCGCGGTCCATCAGTGGATTCGCTCTGCCATCCGTGATTCACAACCACCAATCTCTCCGAAAGGTTTCCTATTTTTGAAACTTCCGCCACTGCATTGTGCGGTACTACTGGTATGCATTTTTATTCATATTTATATACATATCAAAAGTACTCTTATGCATTCAAAAATGCATATTTATATACACATACTTCCGCAGACACAGATCGATAGAGAGAGAGAGAGATATATATATACATACACATATCACATCCACAATGTCAGTGTATATGTATAAATGTATTTTTACATACATATACATATACATATACATATACATATGCATATACATATACATATACATATACATATGCATATACAATCATATACATATACGTAATCATATACATATACGTATACATATACATATACACATACCTTTACAGATACATACATATACATATACATATATATATATATGCGTGTGTTTGTTGGGCAACGCGGTTGTCCCAACCAGTGCATTTTTGAAACCTTTACCTTTAGTTTTGCCGGGACATTTGAACAAATAATGTGTAAGGTATGCCATGCACGCATTCGCCCATCCCATGCTTTCTATGTGGATAGCCTGAAACCCAGGATGTCTTCGCGCCGCACTCGCTTGGGAAAACCTCTTCTGTGATTGTTTCTGACGTGGCAGCGCCCTTGTCCACATGGGTTCACTTGGCCGTGCAACGAAGTGGCAAAGATTTGGAATTCTTCATGGACGGAAAACTTGGTGGCAGAGCAGCTGTTCCGGCAGAGCTAACGGATGAAGTGCTTCCCCAAAGTCGCATCACGTTGGGTGGCTCGGTGGATGGAGACCCACATCGCAAACTCAAGGGCATGGTGAGCAACATGCGCCTTACAAGTGATGCTCTCTACAACAAGTCTAAGCAGTTTGACATTGATCCCAATCTTGACCAGCTGTTGAAGACACGATTTCTCCTCAAGAGCCATTTCATGGATGCAGTTTCAGGGCGGAGGATGAGGAAAAGTGGAAATGTCACCACCAGGTATGATGCGGAGATTCTCATGGATACGTGGAAAGCAGAGGGCCTCATCGACGACGATCACAACTTCACGCCTCCAATGAACATGACGAGGGTAGAAGTGCTGCGTCGTTTGTTTCCTTTCGAAGATCCCATCTTTAAGACGGAATTCTTGGGAGCTTTCTGCGCCAGGGTGGTTCTGCAGATTCTCAAGGAGATCACAACTATCGAGGACCGGTTGATGGATGCAGTTCCACTTTGTGATGAAACGGCCACCAGCCCGCAGTGCTACAAGGCGGTCAGCTATGCCTTCCGACAAGCTGTCAGCATTGGCCGGTATGGGGCGGAGTTACAGCCTCGATGCGTGCAAACCGTGAATGAAGACTTCCGCGGGGACTTCAGGTGGGAAGAAATGCTAGCCCTAGTCCGGGGGCCACCTTGAATTCCCAAAACGAGCAAGGGATAACAAGGGCAAAACTTCCATTCATTTTCATGTCAATACTGATGGGCCAATGTTTCATTGCCTTGTTCAAAGCATATTAAGACATTCTAAATCAGGTGCTTGGATCATGTAACATATTTGAGGTAGGTAGTGCCAGGACTCATGGCTTAGGAATGCTTAGGGCAGCTTTTGGAAGCGCCTCAGGTGCAGCGAGCGGCTTGAAGGTCTTTCCTGGGCTTTGGACGGCTTCGCTTCACAAGTTGCGAAGGCCCGTCGCATTTGCCATGACAATGACTTGAGCAGTCCCCTGTTGGACTTAGGAGCCTGTGTCGGCGAGTCCTTATCAGCCACTGGTTACATGTTTTCGGCCGCTCTTCTCTTGGAATCTGCCTTGGGCTTCGATTGTCCAAATCCAGAATTTGATGAGGAGAGGCCTCTGACCGAGACGCTCCAACTCACTTGCGCGAGAGATTCGACCGCCATTTTTCGGACCACTTTCTTGGCAGGTTCAAAGGCAGTCAGGGCCGCAGGCCATTGCGGCGGCACAGACACCCTCTGTGGTAGAAGCATCCTTCGCAGTGCTGCTGCCCTCTCTGGGGTGGGAGAAACTGGAGTTTTCTTGCGAGTCTTTTGCCACGGAGCGACCCCTTGCTGCCAAAAGAATCCTGACACCGACGAAATCGAGTGCGAATGCGAACCCAAGGATATCATTGAGAACAAACGAGATGACAAGGATGATCAGAAGCAATGTGCCAGGTTCGGGGGTTCAACGGTGAAGCTCTTGGGCTCTGCTGCCCTGGCTGCAACTGAGGCAGAAGGCCAATGCAAATTCTCCAAGACAGCAGAAAGCACCTGCCAGACCACGGTGCCAGTAGCTAGGCTTGTCTTGCAAGAGCATACGGCATACCAAGATAGCGCAAGATGGTTTTGGAGTGTATGCGTGTTTTTTTGAGGGCATCTTTCTAAACATTTGACACGATTCCTCACAGTTGACGGAATTCATTTCACATCATTCAATTTCTCACCATGCTAGCAAACAACCCAAATCACCCGGGCAGTGATCCCTTGGTCCCTTTTTTAGATTCTCGACAGCGGCTGCGAAGCCTGGATTCTGACTGGGTTTTTAAAAGTGCACATTTATTACTTGACCCCTACCAATAATATATATATATATTTTTTTCCTTCGGCCTTTTGGGACTGTGAAAGCCGCGGCGAGCTTCAAATTCTGTGTTGACCTACGCAACAAATTGATGCCTCACGCCTTCTGCTTAACTATCTGTGTTGATGACAGTAGTCGGGACCGTAATGCTCCCCAAAGTCCTTAACATGCATGGAGCGACAACGATCAAGAAATTCCTCATCAATCACAGTGTTCTGTTGGTACGGGCGCTGCAGAAGGTGGAAGGCAAAGCTTTCGCCCAAGGCTTTGTTTAAAGCCGGTGGGTATTCTTTGAGACTAGTCGTGGCCCATTGACCTTCGACTGTCTTGCCGATCGCTGCATTCCGTGGCAAATCAGGACACAGGCGATGACTGTGCAAAAAACCCGGCAAGCTGCCCATATTCAAAGAAAGGAATCTTGTGGGCTTTGGAGACTTCGCTCCAAGAAGCCCCTGTGCGAAATCCACAAAATCGAAACCGGGCAGTTGACGCAGGAGCTGAATTATTGGTAAACGCCAAATGGATGGTTTGGTCTCATCTGTTGGCTCTCCTGGATGCTCTAAAACTCCTACCCCCTCAGATCGGGCCAAGCAAATGAGCAGATCAATGGCAAAGAGCAGCAACTCGTTGCCCACCTCAACCTGTCCCATTTCTCGCAAGGACAATGACGGGAGGCCCCAGAGCCACTCCAAGGACCTGAGTGGTCTAGGTTGTCGTTCATCAGCTTCTCCAAGATCGACAAATCTCGCTTGACTCCACGTCTCGCAGGGCGGGCCGCACAGGCCGCCTTGCACAAAGCCAGAAAGCGCTCCACGCAGCCAGAAGTCGCGAGTGGTCTGTCTGCATGCGTCACCCCATTCTTTGTCTATGACTATATCCATAGAAACCACGTGTAGCAAGACCCCATCGGAATGGCGGGCAAACGCCGCTTCCAGATAATGCTGAAGATCCCCTGGACGGCGTCTTCCCGAAAATGCATGTAGAAAGACTCGTTCCTTGCCTAATGGTGGCGGGATCGCAAGTCTGTCGTGCAGGATCTGCGCGGCTTCAATGCGGCTGTCAATCTCGTCCTGAGGTGGCAATGTCGGCTGTGCGCTACAGTGCAAGGCTGCAAGAAAGGGCCATGCATCAGCCTGGGAGAGGCGTTGCAAAGTCGCCAGACAGGAGCGCATATGGGCTGGGTCCACGTCCAAAAAACCTTCGGCACATTGTCGATGGGCGTCAAGCAATGTCCTCCTGCACCTAGTCCATGAAATAGGGTGTCTGCGGATGCAATGACGTACATGGTTCTCATAGGCCTCTGTGTCAATCTCCATGATGCTCAAAATGATTTCCTCATAGAGCTCTGGGTGCTCCACATCGAAGTCCCTTCTTGGAGCCGCAGGAGGTTGAGGTCCTTCTGCGGCCAATGGCGGCAGTTTGTTGTCCCATTGCATCCATCTGACTGTGTCTTCAATTGAGCCGATACCTGGCTGGGTAGGTTCAAGGTGTCCACGTCCCATCAATGTTGTTCGACATTGAGACGATCTAATGAGGTGCATCTTGAGCTTGCCCATGGTATAGTATTCCGTCAGGCAGGCAGCACATTGCGTGCTACCCATCAGGCGTCTGACTGGATGTGCTTCTCCATGTGTTCTGTGCATGTGGGCTCCTTCTCCGCCTAGGGAGCGGCAGGCTTTCTGGCATTGCATGCAACCGTATGCTTGTGGAGATAAGCGTTGGCTGAATGTCTCTTGCGATGCTAGTTCCACAAAGTGTCCACTTGCTAAATTGTCAAGGAACCGCTGATGTGTAGTAGCAACAAGATACTCACGGTCTTGAATGCCTATGGAGTGTTCCGTCGCTCTGCGAATCAGTCGTTTCCAATAACCGCGGTGAAATCTTATCACTTCCAACCATCTGGGCAGGTGGGCGGCAGGGTCGCCCAACTTGCAACAATGGTGAAGTTGATGCCAGAGCCATCGAAAATCATCAAGGACAAGTGACAGCCATTCTCGGTCTTGATTGAGCAGCCCCCAGCAAGCGGTATCACCAACAGCAAACAGTGAACCCAAATAACGCAGTCTGCGGGTTCGCAGCATGATGGTAGGCGAGGGCATTCTGGTTCTGTACAAAACTTCCTCATCAGAAATTGGACAGTGTCCAGGTTGGTGCAGGAGACGTTTCAGGAGACTCATGATTCCTCCATGCAGGTATTCCCTTGTTTTCTGGTCTGAGAATGTCCACGTCTCCGAACCGAAAAGGAGGCGGCTCAAAATCAAGCTTTGAAAGAGCTCCTTCTTCTTGTCCATCTGGAAGTGCCGGTTTTGATAAAGCAACTTCCTGTGTCTATTGAACTCTTGATGGGCTTGTCCAAGTCGTGTCTTGATTTCTTTCCTGAGTTTCGTGGAAAAATGCACTTTCCCCCCCAAGATGTGTGTACTCCGTCACAATGGGTACTCTGTAAGAATGGTGTTCTCCCAGCGACAGGAAGCATCCATCTGACATGGGGCCAAACATCTTCCGTTTCCAATGGTTTGTGCCTGGTCCCCGAGGGGAGATGAGCACTGCAGTCTTGCCTGGCTGTAGATTTGGTGTCATCGCATAGCTCTTGAAACTATCAAGGAGCACTCCTGTGGCAAAGCCTAAGGCCGAGTCAAGTTTCTCATTCGTTTCGGCTGTGAGGCAAACACAAAGGTCATCCATCCAGCATGGCCCGACAAATGAGAAATTGTCACTTGGTACAGCGGCTTCAAAGACAAGCGAATCTTCTATCGGCACAGGCAAGAGTAATCCCTCAGCGTCCATGACCTGTTGGAACTTCTGAAGAACTTTGGCCATGAGGAAGCCAAAGATAACGTCCGCAAATGAATCGCCCGGACGGGTGCCTATCTGCGTGACCACTTGGTCGTGTTGCATCGGCAGTTGGAAGAATGTGTCAGTGTGCAAGGCCCGAATTGCCCGCCTGAGGTGGCTCGGGATGCCTGCTTCTTCCAGTGCACAAGGCTGCTGTAAAGCGGCACGAAGGTCGTGCAGAAAACCTTCGTCAAGATCAATTCTCGCTGTCATTGTTGCAATGGTGACATCATCGATGGGGCCATCCACAACAAGAGGTCTGAGTACCCTGTAAAAGGCTTCCTGCAAGTCAACAAAAAGGAGTGCTGACGGTTGGCCTCGTTGAGCACAGATTCTTTGGAATGCTCTAACCTGGTGCCCTCCTAGCGTTACGGGAACACCGCGGCGGCCGCCAAGCTGCTGATGATGCAGGAAGTGCTGATAGAGGTCAAGCTGTTTGGTACGGACTGCTTTATGCATGACTTTGCCCAAACACGAAGACAACAGAATGGAGCGAAAGGCCGAGCACTGATCTTTAAGATGCTTCCCTTTCCAAATGGGGAGCAGGATCCCTCCCTTGTGTGCTAGCGCTTCTTGGCCATGGGCACATGTCTTGAGCATGAGGCTGTACAGGTGGAGTGCGACTGCTCTAGGGCAGTATTTGCAAATCTCCGACGGGATAGCATCTAGTCCCGTGGCCTTCCCGGCCGCCGATAACCTACATGCTTGTTCAAGATCGCAAAGCGAGGGAACTTCTTCAATTGGTATGATCAAATCGCTCTGGAGAAAGGACATGAGATTGTCTCTCCATTGGTTCCATTGGTCTTCTTGGGAGGTTCTGGTGCCTCCTTCCATGTTGCCGAAGAAGGTAATCCAGCGGTGCAACGCATCTTCAGCTGTTCGGCAGAATTCTCCTTTCTCATCCTTGATCAAAGGCAGTGGTGCAAGTCCTTGTCTCAACTTATGGCTGGGTCCTTTAAAAGGTTTGAGCATTTGTTGAATCTTCGAGGCAGGCGTTGAAGGGTCAATTTGTTGCAAGACCTCTTGCAGCTTAAGGTTTCTGCTCTGTTGCAGTTCCCTTCTGAGTTGAGCTGCCACAGCAGCGAATTCAATATATCTGTGGAAACTCCCAATCCGCAGCGAAGTGCCATAGTTGAAGGACAGGTTGATCTTTTCCTCGGAACCAGGCGTTTGCTTCCAAGCCAAAAAGATTCTGGCCAGAGCTTCTCGTCGGAGGAGACTTCTGCAGTTGCGAAGGGTTCTTCTGATGGCGATCTTCTGGAGCCTCAAAACTGCCATAGTGTGTCAGAGACATATGGCTTCTTGGGGCCATGCCGGCACTTGCGATAGCGCGTCACTAACTGCGCACGAAAGTGCTCAGCTATCTTCGTGGCCTGGGATTCAACATCATCCTGCCATGTGCAGGAGATGGGGCGCTTCAGAAGATCCTCAACCTCTCTGCCAATTTGGGTCCGATCATAACCAATAGAGCTTGTTCTGACCCGTGTCTGATGTGTGGAAGCCTGGGTCCACTGCAAGTCAATGGCAACTGCCGAATGGTCCAGGTTGACATTGGCCAAATCGAACTCATTCAGAACGCAAGAGTGATTGCATGCTGGTTGCCAGACTCTTGGGATGGCTACATAATCAATCGTATATTCTGCATCATCGGGGGAAGTCCATGTCGTGACCGACCCTTGGTGTGCGGCACTCGTGATTGGCAAGCAGAGTTCAAACTCATCAAGGAAATCGCGCAGTAGAGGAGTGCCACTTGAATGCCTAAACCCCGGATTAAAAACACTGACACCATCAGGCACGCCCGGAGCAGCGTTGGCATCAATGCACATGAAGAATTGCTCTCCCGGAAACAATGAACGAAGCAAGATCTCCTTTGTCTCTTCCCACCAACCTTGCCTATCCGCAAGTGCGATGCCACTCTGCGGCGCATGAGCAACAAGGCACCATGATTGGAAGTGATCATTGTGAATGCGAACAAGGAGGCGGCGCGGGTCCCTGTGAGCAACATGGAAATCTTGTTTACGGAAAAATAGGGCAGTCTTTTTGATGTGAGCAAAGGGCTGTTGGAGATTAATCCAAAGCTCTACGCCCCACTTTCCTTGTAGGCTTCCGGAACAAAGGCTAAGACCCCTTGTTTCACTGACACCCCTTCCGAAGAGCGTGACTCCTGGATCCCAAAGAGGTTGAGGTGCAAGGAGACAAATTGCTCTCTGAGGTAGCCCAGCTTGCCTGCAAAACCTTGATCGGCCGCTCCAACGGACTGCACATTGGCTGTGGCTAGGCTCATTTTGTACACAACAGTCTTGCTTGGCTGCGTGACTGGCGTGGCTTGTGGTGCTGGCGGCATTTTTGGGGGAAGTGCCGGAGCTCTGATGTCAAACCCTGTGCCCGTGAAAAACGGCAAACCATGATGGCGATCAAAGATCATCCAAAGAAAAGGAATCTTCGGCAATAGCTTGGGAATATCAATTTTTGGCCTGGGCAAGAAGAAACTTGATCTGGCCTCTTGCTTCGCAAGTGCATCTGTCATTTCATTCCATGGCTCGGCAAGGTGTCCGAAGACATGATCGAGTTCAACGTCGTCTCCGAGAGCAGCTTTCAGAATTTGATAGCAACCTCGCAAGGATTGGAACGACTGATCGCAGCTGGCTGGGCCAATGGAGCCTTCTGCCTGTCCAATTGTTAAAAGGGAACCGCTACGAAACACAGTGGGGAGGCAGCTATTGAGCCCAAGTCTCCAGATGAAAGCCCAAGTTAGTGCTTCACGCTCTGCGATGGATGATCCGACATGGTGGGCGCCGATATGCCACGGATGCTGGGGATCGTAGCGGACCTGATGGGCGTGCCATCCCAACAGAGTGCATTCAGACGTGGAATTGTCCATAAAGGTTTCTCCCAAAACCACAAAACTCCATGCGTCTGGCACGTCTAGCTCTTCATTCAGTGCAGGTGCTACATGTTTGTGCCTTGATTGGGACGATCCATCTGCATAAACGACTAAACGGTCAAATTGCGAATGCTGCTTCAAATCGGCAATGGCTTCATTAGTCACTGGCAGAAGCGGCAAGCCTTCCGTAATGTGGCACAAATAGTCAGTTTCGCAGTTGAAAAAAGCATTCAATTCTTCATTGGACAGTCCTAGGTCAAGAAGACATGTTGGGTTTGTGGCGGTCATGTGTGCATTCCACATGGGACCAGATTTGGTTCTGTCACCGATGGGTCTTGCCGGCCATGGTTTCTGAAGCTTGGCTGTCTGAGGAACAGATTCAAGCGTTCCCCGAGCTTGTTGAAAAGTGATTTCCAGAAACGTGGCATGGTACTGTCTCTTTGCACCAATGACCGCTTTCTCGTATCCAAATTTATATAGTAATGACATCAATTGGACCTCTGAGAAATCCAATTGTTCAGTCAGCGTCAGAAAGGCCGAGTGCTCATCCGGAAGCGTTTGCTGCATATCAGTGAACATGAGCAGAAGTTTGTCCTCCTCGAAAGGCCATCGCTCTGGGATACAAACCGCAAGCGTGTGGTTGGAGGCAACTACAACTGTACATGCATGACCGAAACAACGCAATTCCTGCTGGACACTGACTTCCGTTGGCACATCCACAGTGGTGACAAAAGAAGGCAGTTGACCCTGAAGGTCACCTAGGCCGATGAGACGAATGGGATACTCCAGAGAATTTCCACCAATGGACTGACCGTCTAACTCGACTGTGGAATCAGTGGGAGGAACTTTGTCAAGCTGCAGAATGCTGTGGAGCTGCAGGAGCACTGGGCCTTCCGCTGGGCCTGCTTCGTCTTCCTGCAGGTGCTGTGGTGGCTGCTGTTGCTGCTGTGGAGGTTGCTGTCCGAGTCCGTTCCGATAAACATGCAGATCAAAACCATCACCATTGGACATCTCATGGACAGGCTCTGCCGACAAGGGAATTTCATTCCAACGGTGGAAAAGCAGGCATCTATGAACCTGGCAGGCTTGCTGAAATGCCAGTTTCCTAATCAACCACTCACCGCTGACCTGTGGTCGGAAAGAAATTGCGGCAGCAAATTGTGGAAATGTTGGATCCGCAGGTGAAGGAAATACTGAGATCATTCCGGACATGCGTGGCTCATGCATTCCCTGCGACACAATCAAATCGAAAGCAAGGTGCTGTTCATGCATCGTTCGAAATGGTCGAGGCTTGACGAGATGAATGGCAATTGCTTCGAATGGGATAAGACGGTCCGACCAAAGAGCAACTACCCTAGGCTGCCACATATGGGGTGGCCCTGACAAATGCAAATACCTGGCGATCCTAGACATTCGACGATGTGTGTGATGAAGATACCAAACTCTGACAACAAAACCCTGTTGCGTTCCATCAGTCCGAAGCATGGTCGCTTGCAAGTCATTAAGCATTTCCCCAACAAATGTTGGGAAACCGATCTGTGCAGGCATGGCTACCGGAATGGGCACAGGCGTCAGCTGTTGAGGTGGCTCTGCTCTCTGGTCTTGGCTTCCACTGCAAGGTCTGTCAGGGAGTCTAAGCTCGATGTTGGGTTTTGTCGCGCAAGCAGTTGGTTTGGCATAGCTATCTATACTCCAGTGCTGCTCTTTGGCCGAGGGCATGTCGAATGCGTGGGAGGCTCCACCTAGGAATGACACTGTGAGAAGGCTATTGCTATCAGGTTCCCTGCTGTCAAAAGGCAAGGGGGTTGGTCTTGGCCTCGCAAGGACATTAATACTCATGCCACTCCTGCCAGGGATGGGTGCGCCTGATGCAAGTGCGAGATCTCTATACCATGCATGACAGAGCAGTGAGGGTGTCCGTCCAAAGCAAATCTCATGGATACCAAAAGCCCTCACCAAATTGTCAAGGAGGATATGTTCATGTGTCGTAATGGCCAACTGGGAGACCGTGGTCTGCAATGTCCGTTCATCAAACAAAGTAACAACATTGGTAACCCATTGATCATTGGGTCTTTGAATGACAACGACGTGTGCTGCGATCGTACGGTCAGGTGTGTAGGGATGTGGCGTGACAAGTTGATACTCCAACTCAGTTCCAGGAACTATGCCATCATGCCATGCCTGCCAAATCTGCATGCGCCATTCGTGCAAATTGGAAAAAAGCCTGACCCTCCTGGGGGCGTGTCCATGTGGATGTGGCCATTGGTGATCAACAAACCAAGCCAAAATCAGACCGGATCGCTCATCCTCTTCCCATACAGACGCGACTTGGTTCCATGCCTCGAAGAGATCTTGGACAAATTCGTCATGTTCGTGAAGATCCCATGGTATTCCTGGCGCGAATTCAGGAGCATTGACTTGAAACTGGAATGGCCGGCTCTCATGTGGCTGTGCAGGCAGGTCAATGCCACAGACGCGTGGCGCTCTGGCAAGCCTGTGTCTCGTAGCTAGCGTGCATGAGAGATGTGGCATCAATGTCATCAGATTCTGTGTAAGGCGGTGATTGCCCTGCATCAATGGGGACTGCATCCCAGTCTACGAGATGAAGCTCCAGGTGTGCCCCTTGACATGGGAAAATTGGTCTGTCATCGTCCAGGGATTCACTGCCGAAAAAACCTACACAGAGAATGGCCCTACTCTGGCATTCAATCTGGAAGTCTGCAAAACGGGTTAAATCAGTGAACGAGATTCTACTTGGGACTACCAAGGCCCTCTTACGATACAATTGGGAAGTGTCAGCATGGCGGAAGGTGCTGAGAACAATCCCTCGGTGCCTGTTGGTCGTTCCTTGATAAACCAAAATGTTGCAGCTCCTGCTGTCATCCTCACTTGCTGGAGAAACTATGCTGACCTCAAAAGGTTGGCCCGGTTGCATTCTATCTCTCCAGAGGGAGCGTATTTGACTGTCCCATTCATGTCGTTGCGGGAACAGAGTGAGCATTCGCGGATGGTCACAGGTGGTCCAAAGATGGCTATGTACAAACCAGGACGTGAAGGTGACTGCAGCTTCATCAGCCGAGACTGCAAACACTGGTGAGGCCCTTAACCATGTTTCATGTACGTCATCAAGATGGCTGTTTTCGGCAGGGTTTTCCTGTGTCTGTCGCTGATGGGCATCAAGCACTGGCACTTCAAAATTGCATTCTGGCTGCTCAATTGTGTCTGTGTTCAACAGACGCATGGTTTGCGTGAGAGCCCCATTGAAACTGTTAATTTGAAGCGAGATCATCATGAGCTCATCATGATCGTCATCCAGACCATTGTCATGTTGGCCAACTGCTTGTAACGAATGTGCAGCAATAAGGTCAGTGCTACGCTGCGTCATATCAAGTCGTTGGGCAGGAATCTTGATCTGAAGTCCTAGTCCATCATGTGTTCTGATGTGCTCATCAACAGGAAGTTCTCGGGACCCAATCCAAGTTGAACAGCCTGGAGTGTTGCAAAGATCCTGCACTTCAGCTGCAGCTACCAACTGGGCCTGGGTCACTGCAGGATCGGCCGAGAGTGCCACATGTCGAGCGTGTCTAACTTCTGGAGCATCAGGAAGAGCTGTGATCACAATCGCAGCTTTGTGGGGTACTGGATGCTGTACAACAACGACAGTGGCAACCGTCCCTTCAAAAATGGTGGTTGGAGGATCAGGATGTGCGATAAAGAGCTCCAGAGGCGCCTGCGGATCCACAAAATCTTCCCACATGAAGCGCACACTGGCCTCCCATGTTTCATGTTCAACATCAAATCTCAAAGGTCTGGAGACCCTGTTGATTGGCGTATTGATGTGTGAAATGAAGAAAGAACGCACATAGATGATAGGTCCTTCTTCTTCCATTTCAGTGGCTCCTTCGTCACAGAGCAGATCCCAGATCTCTTGTTGCCATAGTGGGCTTTCAACCCTTGGTGGTCTTCCTGGCTGTTCACGAGCCCGGTTGCTGTCTTGGCTCGCAAAGAAAGAGAAGGGTTCGTTCATGCTTTGTACACGTGGTTGGCCATGGAAAGTTTCACAGCTGCCGGAGATACACACGGCCTGAAAAGACGGCGGATCAGCATCGGCAAAGCTGGGCATAGAAACATGAGGTTGGTGACATGTCTGCAATGCACTAATCGAATCAACTTCTCCAGTGTCACTTTCGAGAGAGAAAGATGAGATGTCAGTTTCGCTGCAGGCAGGACTTCCTTCACGGTGTCCAATCACTATCTTGAGGAAGTCGCCATCTCCGAGATGCATTGGAGAAATTTGTCCATCGGGCACAAGCACGTTGTTATGCCAGAGACGGCTGTCGTCCGAATGCTCAATCGGTAGCCATTTGGAGAATCTTCGAAAAGCACCAGGCAGAATTTCGTTCGGTTCATAAATCTCAAGATCAATGAGGATCAGTTTCATAAACTGAGAGGGGCGAACATCACTGCGAACTTGAAGAAGTAAACATTGCAGTTCCTGTTGGACCAAATCAGAGGGTCTGTTGGGCACAAAGTGTACTCCCATGAGCTCTGTGGTATCAATGCCTACTACTATCTGTGAAATTTGTACCGCAAGTGCGTCACCATCATTCCAGGGAAGGCGTGTCGGCAACATCTGTCCATTCAAGAGCACCAAGACAGTCTGTCTCCAGGAAGATTGCGAGAGTCTGGAACTAGAGGTTGGAAAAGAAGTGGCTGTCTCAGATGATCTATCCCCATCTGAGGGAACTTGCCTGATTGGGCGTCGTGCCATGAGGCTGACGTGGTCTTCAGCTTCAATTGCACGCCAAAGGTCAGGAAGAGGTCTCGCTCGAACAGTCCATGGCTTCCCCTGCCATGAAGAGAGCGTGGTGTGCTGCATGGTTACCTGGTGGAAGGTCAAGTCATCTTGCAAACCCACGAAGACAACTATCTCCTCATCAAAGGTTACTTTGGCACTATTTGGCTTGTGTCGGAGAGGAAGCGCAAAAACATCCACAACTAAATGGTCATGGCATCCAAGCTCGGCCGCAAGCGTTGAGGCGTGGAGTTGGGCTTGCCATTCCGGCAGAAAGTCTCTTTCTCGGGTGATGGAATGGTTCCAGTGAAGACGAACTGCAAGGCTGTCCATCACTGGCCAGGGTTCAGGCCCCTGGCGATCGTACCCACAGGTCACGTGTCGCCGGCCTTGCCAAAAGACTGCACCTGAACTTCGTCCCCAGTGCATGATGTCCTTGGCCGTTGCACCTTTGCGGACTGCCAGACGGGCTGCTTGAACATTGGCCTGGTGTGCAGAGTCTGATGCTTGGAAATTCATAGTGAATTCCTTCCACTTGATAACAGATTGTTGCAAGAAGTGCTTCCACTGCGTGAGCAATTGTACTCTTGCATTTTCGGCTTCGAGAAGTTCGTCTTTTGCGTACCCCAGAGCTCGTACTGCTGTGGGAGTCCTTGCATATTGCTTTTCTCGTCTTGTTTCTTCATTTCGTGCGCCATTGACTGAAGATTTGGGGACAAAGTGTCCTCTTCTTTTTTCATTTCTTTCAGAAGGCGATTCAAATTCTTCTGCGCTTTCCCTTCCTTGACCGCATCTTCCTGAGGCATGGGGATTGCTGTTGCTGCTGGGGCCGCTGGAAAAGGCATCATGGGCATATTGGAGGCCCAGGACGTTTGAGCACCAGGCGTCTGTGAGATCGGCCCGGTGGCTGGCATTGGCGGAGGTGGAGGAATCATCCCCCCCTGCATCCCCGCAGGATGACTCATGCCCTTGCCGGTCCCTTTGTCCATCATAGTAGATGGCCCTGGCGCCGGCACCACAGGTGGTTGCAGTGGGGGTGGCATCATATGCTGTTGATACGGCATCATCATAGGCACCATTGGATGCATTTGCATCGGTGGCTGTCCCTTGCCGTATCCGGGGTCCTGATAGTGTTGCTCTCCTCCTTGTCGAGGTCCACGTTGGTTGTGCTTCCGGCTTCGTGTGCGAGGACTGCGTGAGCCGCTGCTTTGCGATTGCCAAGAAGTTCCCATCCATGGCATGTGCTGCCCTGTCTGCTGGTCGTAGGCCTGCTTGAATTCCGGCGGCACGAAGGAGGCATCGTTGCATTGATGCCATTCCGTTCCACACTTCCAGCATCTGGGGAACGTCCCCTTCATCACAACATGGCAGTGTGAGCACCTCCAAGAAGGATGCTTCTTCGTCATTGCTGCAGGGATTGCAGCAAGGATTTTGTCCAAGAAAGCAGGATCTTTGGAATGGTGTTTGCCCAGTACAGAACGAATACGGATCAGTCCAGAGGCCGATTGACGCCGCTGTCCCTTTCTGTGGAGAAACCACAAAAGACGAGCAGTTGCCCTCTGCCTCCTCGCTCTTCTTCGCTGGGTAGGAGTAATGGCTGAGAACCGCAAGCACAAGGAACACCTTGAAGAAGTAGCCCATGCACCAGGGACTCGTCAAAGACCAAGAAATAAATCCACAATGGGAGCAAAACACAGAGAAATAAATCGATCCGTGAGAAGCAGGCCAAAGCAGAAATTTATATTGTAAGTGGGCCGAGCAAACGGCAGCCAGTTACGCCAGGTCCAGACCCAAAGAAAATTAGGATGCCAAAGTCCCGAATGCCCTCAAAGATCAAAATCGAGGAAGAGGTAGGACCGGAGCAATGGTGATGTGGGTCAGCGCAGTACCCACAGAGCACAAAACAGTGAAGGTGCAAATCGCCGCAAAGCAGTGACAGCACCCGCGGCAATTGCTCCACAAGCCGCTAAGGCGAACGGCTAAGCGTGGGGAACTTGCTTCAGCCGAAACCTTATATATATATAGATAGAGCTATAGAGGCTTTACGGATCCCTTCGAACCATCCTTTGGAGGGTACGGAGTATTCGTGTACTTTATATGTTTATGCCTTTGGAAAATGTGTTTCCGAAGTTTCCTTTCTCCAATAACTTTGAGCGAAAAACCAAGGCGGCCATTGCAGGCCTGGGCTTTTTCATTGAGAATGCGGCCAGAGCAAGCAGGGACTGTCCTCCAAGCGCGTTTCCACTCGATCCTGAGGACAGGGATGAACGTGCTTCGTTCGGATGCAAACCCACCGCCTGTTTGCAACGCATTTTCATGGATCATCGTTTAGTTTAGGTCACGTCCCCAACCATTATGCATTGCTTGGTTTGTTTGCATACTGTAGTGATGAGTTTCATGGGAATGGTAGGGGTTTGTGCTGGCTAGTAGACATGTTGTTCTAGTATCATGCCCAATTCCCCAAACACTGTGGTCACACTTCCGGTTACTACGGTAGAGGTTGGCCCGGAGTCTATTGGTGGGGGCGGTGGGCGTTGGCTCTTGCGAAGGGATTGTGCGTGTCAAATGATTTTGCAGGTGCCTGTGCAACCCTTTTCGGGGATCGTGCGTGTTACATGCTCCAATGTCAGGGACGTTGAGAGTCATCCACCCGCTCATACTCATTTTACTCATTCTTCCTCCTTCATATTCATTCAACTTCATCTTCATTCATTCCCGTTCAAACTCACTCATACCCATTCAAACTCACTCATACTCATTCAAACTTCATTCTTACTTCTCACTCATGTTCACTCACACTCACTCTTATTCACTAAAAATGTTTACCATCACTGCTTCACCCAGGCACGCACGTACTCAGTCAGTCAGTCACGCACGCACGCACGCATTCGCGCTCTCACTCACTCACCCACTCAGGCAGTGCGTGCGAAGTTGTTGTGGGCGCTGTTTGGGGTCTCTTGCCGGGATATTTTTTTTTAAATAATTGATTCTTACTCATCCAATCGATGTCCATCCTCTTTGTGTGTGAGAGCCAGCCAGCAACATATGGGAACTACTTGGTCGAGTGGTGATCCAAGAATCGCACCAGGAGAGAAGGATAGACGACTTCATTCTCGGCTGGGCTGACCCCAGAGATTTCTATCAGCGCCTGATCTGAGTGTTCCTGCGTGGGAGATTGGTTGCGATGTTCCTACTACGATTCGTGCATTTTGAGTGAGCATTTGATAATTTTGGCATTAACAAATTTTCATGACTATTTAGTTTGGAAGACATTTGGAAAATGTTTTCTACTCTGGCACTCTGTTCGCAGGGAGGGACATTCGACAGTAGTCGTATGACTTGCATTTTGGGTTTCACGCATGTTTTCATGTTTACTGCTAGGGTGACAGAATTCTGTCTTACTCTTTTTGCAACTGGGATTGTTAGATATTATATAATATTATGTTTTGCGTTTGGACGTTTTGATTTCAATATGTATTTTTTGATCGGCACATCTTTACTACTGCTTCTAGGGTGGAAGGACATGTTCCTTCATGTTTCAGAAATCAACCACATACTGAGCAACTTGGTGTCATGACAACAAGCAGATATCATTCGTTGTACCTTCCTGATCATAAATGGACGGTTGTCAAAATGCTGGTTCCCACATACCTGAAAGGAACTTGCTGCTAACGGGGTCCCTTCTCAGGAGCCGTACGCTTCCCGCATGCTTCCCGCATGCACGTTGTACGGCCCAAAGGCCAAGAACCCATTGCATGGTAAACAGGCAAAGTAATCCCCTCCCAACAAATCTCTATCTGAACCCAGCATCAGTTGCTTAGGTTTGTTAAACCTGCTGGTTTTCAGGGCATTTGGCACTGAGGTGTGGTCAGAACACCAAGCGTCTTGGTGTATCAATGGACGTCATCGCTCGGGGCATCGCAGGCTGGTGGATTGACCATGGGATGGACCACAGTATACTGACCATAAGGCTGTTCAAACATGTTCAAACCATTGACATCCATGTCAGCGGCCGGGACATCCAGGGAATGAGACTTTGTACCCTAGGTTCCGTCCAATAATTTCTGATATCTTTTAATTCAGTGGGGTTCAATGTCAGAATCAGTGTTTTGATTGGAAATTCAACCAGCAAAAACCGTGCCTTCATTTATTCACGGTGGTGGAAGTCTAGGAATCAAACACGTTCAAGTGCAACCCTGACAGGTGCAGTTGTGGACTGTCCGTATGGTAACCTTTCACGTATCACTAAGCCAGTGAAGTCTGCAAGACGTTTCTTTACCCCGTGAAGACCAAAGCAAGGGAAACGTGCCAAGTGCCGAGCCTTGCCAATTCGGAATTCGACCCTGGACCGCATGGATTTTCCAAAGAGTAGAAAAAACATCATACAAAATGCCCAGTATCATGCGAAATGGTCGAACAAGTTTGATAGCAGATCTTTGGAAAAGTGAAGTCCGCCAATTAGTTAGTCAAATTAGTTTGCGTTGCGGCAG